GAGTAGTAATAGTTTCTTTCGATTGTTTTATTTTTAAGTCAATATGTGAGCTTTGGATTCAGAATAGATCTTGACTCAAGTCCCAGAATCTTCCTCTTTCTAGCAGTGTGAACTTAGTGATATACAAGGAAACTTCGAAAAGCTCATGGAATTAAAAGATTTTTTTTTTAGATTTTTTTTATTTTTATTTTTTAATTTTTTGACAGGTGTCGCTCCCCCTCTTCGCGGAGGAACAACACAAGACCCTGCGCTGTTCTTTTGTCTGCTCGGCCCTTTCCGGGTTTGCTGCTGGTTCTTCCCGGGTTGGCTGCCGATCCTTCCACCTCCGTGGAAGGGCGGCTCCCCCTGCCACTTTCCCCACTTCCACGGGGGAGTGGAACACCGCTGGCCGGCTCTCTCGGGGGCTGCTCAGATGTTATCCGGATGTTCCTGGTGTATGTTGTCTCTCTCCTCCTTTTTAGTCCTCTTCCACCAATCCCAACTCTGCTACCCACACACCGAGTACGCTGCTCTCCTCCAATCAGGAGCAGGATCAGCTCCTGCAGGTTATTGGTCGAACTGGAGGCAGCTGTGTAGAAGTTGTTTACTCCTCTCCCAGCGCCATATTGTAGGAGAGCAGATGCATAGAATAAGTCTTAATTCCAGTAACTTAGTCTAGTCCGAGTTGCTCCCCACAGACAGGCAGAGTGGACAGTGAGAGAGAGAGACAGAGAGAAGGGTCTTCCTTTGCCGTTGGTTCACCCTCCAATGGCCGCCGCGGCCAGCGCACTGTGGCCGGCACACCGCGCTTATCTGAAGGCAGGAGCCAGGTGCTTATCCTGGTCTCCCAAGGGGTGCAGGGCCCAAGCACTTGGGCCATCCTCCACTGCACTCCCTGGCCACAGCAGAGAGCTGGCCTGGAAGAGGGGCAACCGGGACAGAATCCGGCGCCCCAACCGGGACTAGAACCCGGTGTGCCGGCGCCACAAGGCGGAGGATTAGCCTATTGAGCCACGGCGCCGGCCGATAATTTTGTTTTGATGCAAAAGGATTTTGAAATCATGCATGGTTTTTTAATAATCTACATTAATACAAACATTTTGAAGACCCTTATTATATGCATGGATATCAAAATATTTTGCATTGAATCAACTTATCTTTTAACTCCAGTTTCCCATGAACTTTTTGAAGTGACATCTCTTTTTTTTTAAGATTTATTTATTATTTGAAGGTCAGAGTTACATAGAGGGAGAAGGGGAAAGAGAGAGAGAGAGAGAGAGAGAGAGAGAGAGAGAGAGATCAAAGTCTTCCATCCACTGGTTCACTTCTCAATTGGCTGCAACGGCCAGAGCTGTGCCGATCTGAAGCCAGGAGCCAGGAGCTAGGAGCCTCCTCCAGGTCTCCCACATGGGTCCAGGGGCCCTAGAACTTGAGCCATCTTCGACTGCTTTCCCAGGCCATAGCAGAGAGCTGGATGGGTAGTGGAGCAGCTGGGACATGAATGCTAGCACTGCAGGTGGCAGCTTTACCTGCTACACCACAGTGCTGGCCCCATACTTGACATTTCTAAGCCTCAGTTGCTTGATTCCAAAAATGGTGCAAAGTGGCAGATAACAAAACAGCATGGTGTAAAGATGAAATGAAATGAAATGACATTCAGGCCTCCATGCTTATCTGAAAGCATTGAGGCCATGTGTGTTTTAGAGTTGGGAATTGTTCACACTTTACAAAGTTAAATGGATAGTGTGTCGAATTCTTAGCAGGCTCTGGGGCAGTCCTTGCAACCTAACACATTGACTTTTCTGCAGTAAGCTTACGAAGATTTCCAGAGTCTCATAAATGTTATAAATAAACACTTCTAAGTAGCATGACGTCAGTTCGGGTCAGATTTGACACGAAATGAGTTTGTGCCAAACTTCTAAGAATCAATAAGGACTATGAGAAGTGTCATGATATATCAACCTAGTTCTTGAGCACTTCTCAGGGATTTCATGAATTCTGTACTACATGAAAAAATACAGGACAGGCTAGTATATACAAGACTTTAACAACATTATGAAGTAGACATACTTACTCTGTAACCCAAACCCTGCACTGAACTCTTTGCATAGTAAGTCATTTATTTCAAACAAGACTGTATGAGGTTGATATTATTATTCCCATTTTACCAGTGAGGGAGAAAAGGCAAATAAAATTTGGTTACTTGCTTAAGGTCACACAACTAAGTGGTGCTGCTAGGTTTTTGGCCTGAGCTGATTTCTAGGGTCTGTTGTGTTCTCTGCCTCTATGTTTTAGTGAATGTTAGATCTTATTCTCTTTGGGTCCAATCCTTACGTCTATGGTGCAAATTCTGTTTCTATGTTGAAGTGATCTCATTCAATGTTAAGATCCTATGACTTAACACTTTTTGCTTTATATCTGGCCTCATTTCACCCAAGGAATTGGTTGAGGAGTTTGTAAAATATATGCAATCTGGGGCTGGTGCTGTGGCGTGGCAGGTAAAGCTGCCACTTGCAGTGCCAGCATCCCATATGGGTGCCGGTTCAAGTCCCAGCTGCTCCACTTCCGATCCAACTCTGTGCTATGGCTTGGGAAAGCAGCAGGGATGCCTAAGTCCTTGGGGCCCTGCATCCATGTGAGAGATCTGGAAGAAGCTCCTGGCTCCTGGCTCCTGGCTTTGGATCGGCCCAGCTCCGGCTATTGCGGCTATCTGGGGAGTGAACCAGTGGATGGAAGATTTCTCTCTCTGCCTCTGCTTCTCTGTAACTCTGCCTTTCAAATAAATAAATAAATCTTTAAATACATATATATATATATATGCAATCTCAATGATTTAAAATGAATAATCAAGGTAATTAAAGAAAAGGGAAAAGAAGCAATACTTAGGTATGAAATTATTTTTACAAATATCTATAGGTAATGCAGTCTGGGTTCAGTAAATATCAATACAAATTCTATTTCATAGATCTTTGAGTCTTCTGTAATCCTCATCTTGTATGATTGAAAAAATAATTTTCATTACCCATGTCTTCTATCCATGCTTACATCAGTCATCATCGAATTGTTTTGCAGATTTCTTTCAAAAACAAGCTGAAGTTGGCACTGATTGGCCAGAGCCTGTTTGGACAGGAAGTCTACAACCATCTGCGCAAAGAAGGCCACCGAGTTGTGGGGGTGTTCACGGTTCCAGACAAGGATGGAAAAGCTGATCCACTGGGTGAGTGCCTCGTGGCTCAGCTGGCTCCGTCACTGCCAAGTCTGGGCTGGTCACCGGAGCAGGCACGGCCACTCTGCACGCTCTGCACGCTCCTGCCATTTGCTGCTTTGGTGTTACAGATACTGGGCTTGCATGTCATAGTCCAAGGGAACTGCCCCAGTCTCTGCTATCAAAGCTGCATTCCAGCAAGCAGGAAGGGACAGATAGGAAGGGGCGTGCAAGTGCTTTGCTTTCTCAGGGGACACGGTCCAGAAGTTTCATCTATGAGCATTGCCTCTGCTCCCATCCCCTTGTCAGAACGTAGACACAGGCCAAATCTATTTTCCAGAGAGATTGAGAGATACAGATTTTACTTGGGGTGGTTTTGTGTTCAGCTAACCCAGGGAGCTAAACCATCCATGCTAAAAGATACAGAGGGTCAACTAGGAGTCTCTGCCTTGTTCATGGACTTGAGAAGAGTTGCAAGTATATGACTTTTACCCTTCATTTCAGAAAGAATCCTGGGAAACAAACTTCTCTACCGCCTGGGCCCAGGATCAGAACCCCCTTTCTGTTGGTCATGGCCATTTAGACTCATGATATAACTCCAGCAAAGGAAAAAGCCCTGATTAATAGAATAAGATAGGAGGTGGCCCAGTGCATGGTTAACATTGTACATTCGGAGTCACAGAATTAATTCTAACTCTGCCACTTACTAGCTGTGTGACCTTGAGCAATGCAGTTAATCTTGGTAAATTTCAAGTCTGTGGTACCTATATCACATGGCTGCTGCTGCGAGGATTAAATGAGATAATGTATACCAAGTGCTTAGCACTATGCCTGGTTCATAATAACCAGGCAGGAGTGACAGGAACTGATTATTCTTGTGGTCAGAGTCACCAACTAGGGCAACCAACAATAGCACTGGGACAGCCGCAGATCAAAACAGGAGACCAGTGCCCAGATCTTCAAATACCCAGTGTCTCAGTGGAGTAGGAGTTTTACAAGGAAGGCTTTGATGTCTCCCCGACTCCACCTCTCTCCTAAAACCTCCCATGGCTTTCTCCCACTGTGCCATTTATTGACCACCGTTTATCTTGCCATCTAACACATGGGTTCAGTTTTGGGGGCTTCGTGTGAACATTCACATATGTGACCATCATTGAGCTCATCCCTCCGCTTCTTCCAGAAGGACCTAACCTTGACAGCCAGAGTCCTTCAGGACTTGCTTAGCCTTCAGCATTCAGATTTTGTGCCAGCGGCATCATTTCCTCCTGAGTCAATGAATTTTGATGTTTGGATGTGGAGAAAAATGCCAGTAAATATCCTTAGTCAAGGCATCTGGAGATTGCCTAAAATTCATATGTGCAAGGAATCTCCAAAAAGTTCATGGAAAATGTGTATTATGCAAAAATTACATGGATCTCACTTTTTTGCATGAAAATAAACTTTTAATTCCATTGTTTATGAGCTTTTTGAGATACCCTCATATACTGTTATATATTAAGTTTAGATGCTATTATTAATATATAATACTGCATATTAACCTATAATACAGGGAGCATGCGTTTAGTCTAGCAGTTAGGATGCCTGTATCCCATACTGGAGCCCCAGGGTTTGATTCCAGGCTCCAGCTCCTGGCTCCAGTTTCCTGCTAATGCAGATGGTGATAGGCAGAGGTGATGGTTCAGTTAATTGGGTTTCTGCCTTCCAGGTAGGAGACCAGTATTGAATTCCCGACACCTGGCTGTGGCCTCCGCTCAGCCGTGGTCATCGCAGGCATTTGGGGATAGGAGGCTAGGAGCTCCAACTTTCCATCTCTTCTTCTCTTCCCTCTCTCAAATAAATCAATAATTTTAAAACTATGCTATTTTAATACATGATTTATACACAAAATATATACTGTTAAACAATAGATATACTTAAGATATAAGGTGCACAGTACAAATGATATTTTATTACAGAAAACATGGGCCTGTGCTGTTTCTCCTTTGGAAGCCCCTTCCATTTTCACGTGGGCTTAGAATGGAGCCTTTGAGCCGGCGCTGCGGCTCACTAGGCTAATCTTCCGCCTTACAGTGCCGGCACACCGGGTTCTAGTCCCGGTCGGGGCGCCGGATTCTGTCCCGGTTGCCCCTCTTCCAGGCCAGCTCTCTGCTGTGGCCAGGGAGTGCAGTGGAGGATGGCCCAAGTCCTTGGGCCCTGCACCCCATGGTAGACCAGGAGAAGTACCTGGCTCCTGCCATCGGATCAGCGCGGTGCGCCGGCCACAGTGGCCATTGGGAGGTGAACCAACGGCAAAGGAAGACCTTTCTCTCTGTCTCTCTCTCACTGTCCACTCTGCCTGTCAAAAAATAAAATAAATAAATAAAAATTAAAAAATTAAAAAAAATAATGGAGCCTTTTGTTTGGGGAGGAGCAAAAACACCGTGCCCAGGCAGCAGAACTGGATCTGCTCCAGTCTGACGATTCCTTCCAGGGGAGCTGGAGGTGGATGCCCCATTTTTGATCTCTGACCTCCACTAACTTACTTGTTTTGTGAATTTAAAAGATTTCAGCTCAGCCTTTGCCTTTAGGGACCTGCCTGTAGGGTAGGGAGAATTTGTTCTGGTCCACAGTTTGCCCTGTGCAGGGAAGGGGGAGACTCAAGGTTTTCCAGTTGTACCAGAGGTGGAATATTTTTAATTTGGGGACAAAGTCCTGGCACTTGGCTCCAGATCTAAAAGAATGTTCTTTAAAGGGTTGTGTCAGCAATAAAGTCATCAGAAATGATATGAAAGTATTAAAGGATCTACAAAAAGAAAAGGAAAAGCTGCTGTTACAATCTCAAGCTGAATTCTAGCCACAAACCTTTCAGTTCAAATACATTACGCCTTAAATATACAGGTAAGCATCACATTAGAAAGATGGCCAGAGCACGACGCAATCACAACACATCAAATTCTGGCCTCAATCAAAACTGTTCCTTACCATGTTGTATTTATAAATGTTTCATAAAATATAAAATTATAATGCACAATATAACATTATAGCTAACTCTTTAAAAATGAAAATAATCTTCTTTTTGGTGCTTAGCTTTGGCTGCAGAGAAAGATGGGACCCCTGTGTTCAAGTTCCCTAGATGGAGAGTCAAGGGCAAGACCATCAAGGAGGTGGCAGAAGCCTACAGATCCGTGGGAGCTGAGCTAAACGTGCTTCCCTTCTGCACACAGTTCATCCCCATGGATGTAATTGATGGTCCAAAGCATGGCTCCATCATTTATCACCCGTCCATCCTGCCCAGGCACAGAGGAGCCTCTGCTATCAACTGGTGAGCTATTTTAATAACAGAGGGGGAGAGTCTTTTCTATTGCCCAGGTCTTTCTGGGTTGGTTGGTTTTGTTTCCACCTGAAGTATCGGGAGAGCAGGTGTGACTGGGTAGTTGTGAGTTCTGATTGATTGTTAGGAGTGCACACACTCCCCTGAGATTTGCACACACTGCATGAATCAGGACAGCATTTTCCAAGGATCGTCTGTGGAGCACAGTTCCATTGCTTCTGATCCGGTTCAGTAAGCCAGGGTGTTCTGGTCAGATAAGCTTGGAGTGTGCTGGATTTCTGTAACACGGGACTTCTTTGAACTTCCATCAGGTGCTTTACCGTGAACTTCACAAGCTCTAAGAGGTAATATGAGCATATAGCATCCCCAAATTTACTTAACCACAGAGTGCTTTTTGCATAGAGCATCTCAGGGACATTTCAGGAAATGCTGAATTGCCTGAAATTCTCTTCTGCTTTGTCTGTCTTCCCCTATTCAACTGTAGGCTTCTGGAGGAAAGAGACTTTGTCTACCATTCTTATTGCTGTTTCAAGAGCAGTGCCTGGTACATCCCAGGTACCAGCCACCAGCTTCTCTATGCTGTGGGTTGAGACGGCCATTTTCCACCTTTTCCACCTTCCTTCCTTTACCTGCACATCTTCCTTAGTGTGAAGCTACTGAATAGGTAGAAAGTCTACACTTGGTTGAAATGTGATGAAAAACTTTTCACTGGATGTAACATTTTGATTACATTAATTAATTTCTATTTTGCACTTGTAAATTATACTGTGCTGGCTATCCTGGCTCTTAAACTTGCAATTTTTCTTATTTCACGTTATTTCTATATGCAGAATCATTGGGTCAAGATGTATGAATATTTTCAAGGCTCTAGAGAATATAATACCAATTAATTCCTCTAGATTTTTCAAAAGAATCATTAATTGATCTAGATCTTGCTTGATTAGTAACTCAGAAAAGTAAAAGTGATTTAGATTGTGGTCATTGATGACTTTGTACTCTCTCTGTGTTTGCCTCCTCTCATATGTGTTTATATGCATGTGTCCATATATTCAGCTTAATGTTTGTGTTCTAACCTCCTGTAGAACCTGGCTAAGCTTTTCTCCTCTGCTAAGCTGTACAGACCACAAAACACAAATGCTTGAATTAGTCAACCATCTTTTACTACAATTTCTATAGACAACCTTGAGCTAATTCTAAGTCTATATGAAGCTTAGACCTCATTATATAACCTAAATAAACAGTTTGCTTTCCACATTGCACTGAGCAGCATCTGTTTTACTTTTGATTTTTATTCTGCCTAATTCAAGGTCAAGTATGATGTAGGGTGGCAAATTATTGCACTTGATTCTGAAATAGAAAGCTGACACCTAGGAGTTAATGAGTGGTAGTAAAGATGGACTCCCATCCCTTTAAGATTCTCTACTGTCAACTTAAATAACAATGAGAAAAAAGGTCCTCCAAAGAGCAAAGATATTTATTTGGGAATAGCAGAGTATTGCAATGAGAACATACATGCCATAGTAAACTATGAGCACAGTCAAGGAGGCGAAGTATTCAAAGGCAAAACAAGGAGGATTATTTTGCAAGAACAGTCCTTGGTAAGGATCAATGACAGGGGTGGCGCTGGTTCACGCTGCGGGTAGACACGTCCCTGTGGAGTGTTTTCATGAAGCTTGCCAAGGCCTTTGTGCAGGCTGTGGTCCTGCCAGTCTTCTGTGACGAGTTCCTGTCATCAGGCATGCATGCGTGACACCCTGCCTTCGCGTCCTCCGGACTTTATTTTGCTAGTTACGGCTTGACAAAAGCGACTGTATCTTGAGTCTGACAAGTTTCGTACTACAAGAAAGACCACAGGTCTGAGGATGTATCAACAGCAGTGCCACTGGGTGACTGCTCTGTATGAGCTCTGACCCGGGCCAGCTCAGTTGTTCATTTCTCAAAGTCGCTTCATTCACCACCTACTTTTCCATGGTAAACACCACCCGCATTTGAAATTGAGTCGCTTCTTTTCGCAGGACTCTCATTATGGGAGATAAGAAGGCTGGGCTCTCTGTTTTCTGGGCTGATGACGGCTTAGACACAGGACCCATCCTCCTTCAGAGGTCGTGTGAAGTTCAGCCCAACGACACAGTGGACACACTTTATAATCGATTTCTTTTTCCTGAGGGAATCAAGGCCATGGTCAGTATGTTTATGCTATCAAGAAGAATCTAATGAGCCTTTAAGATTTTGGGAATATTTATCTTTCATGGAGAATTTGCCCATAAGAGTTTTCACTAAAAATACAGTATATTTAGAGTGGAAATCCAAACTTGAAAATTTCTTAGTATGTGAAGCTGACTTGCTCTTCTGAAAGCAGTGGTCGAATGGATGAAGTATCAGTTAAATCGCTCCATTGCTTTTGTCAACATTTGAATCGTCAATCTTGTTTATAATAACTAATTGTAAAGAAGAGCACAGATTCTTAAGAAATTTTGCTATGTAATTTGGACTTCGTATAAAAGTATTTTAAATTTATCCATGTAGCAGCATCAAAGTTGCTGTCGCTTTATTTATTCAGATGTACTTTGGGTGACAAACCCAAAGCATGTAACAAAATATCAACCTGTAAAAATATTGTCTAATTCAGCAGATAATTTTGATGTCACTTATGTTCTTTCCCAAGTTTGGTGTGGTAAAAGCAGCAAGATTATATAAAGGAGTAGCCAATTCATATTGGATGGAGGAGAGCAATGCTTCCTTTGTATCCTTTCATGACTAACAGTGTGGGGCTTTGGGGTCAGAGAGACTTAGGTTCAAGTTCATATTCTATCACTTATTTGTTGGATGACAGTAGACAAGTCACTTAGCCTCTTTAGCCTTGGTTCCCTCCTCTATAAAATGTAAATAATATTGATGGACTTGCAGTTGTGAAAACTAAATGACTTTATTTGTATAAAGCTTCTTGCACACAGTAGGTGCTCAGAGATGATCAGTTCAGCACTGTGTGTTCAGTGGCACTTGCACAAGCCCAGATTCTGTGCTTGACGGTATCTTAGAGCGAGGTTGTAGAATGAACTGTAGATCTGGCTTTGTTCCCAGGTGGCTTCCTCCCTGTGTTCTTGGGTGGGTTGGTCAGCAGCTGTGAGTCCTCAGAGAGATATCTGAGAGCTTGAGCTTCTGTAGGCCTCCCATGAAAGACAAGACAAACATAAATAGCAGGGAAGAGAATGCGGGACACATCCCAGACGTGATTGGGCTCATGGACAGATTTTTTTAAATTTTTTTAATTTTTTTATTTTTTAAATTATTTTTGACAGGCAGAGTGGACAGTGAGAGAGAGACAGAGAGAAAGGTCTTCCTTTGCCGTTGGTTCACCCTCCAATGGCCGCCGCGGCCGGCGCGCTGCGGCCGGTGCCCCGCGCTGATCCGATGGCAGGAGCCAGGAGCCAGGTGCTTTTCCTGGTCTTCCATGGGGTGCAGGGCCCAAGCACTTGGGCCATCCTCCACTGCACTCCCTGGCCACAGCAGAGAGCTGGCCTGGAAGAGGGGCAACCGGGACAGAATCCAGCGCCCCAACCGGGACTAGAACCCGGTGTGCCGGGGCCGCTAGGTGGAGGATTAGCCTAGTGAGCCGTGGCGCCGGCCGCATGGACAGATTTTAAGTTTTTCTTTTTTTTTTCTTTTTTATTTTTTGACAGGCAGAGTGGACAGTGAGAGAGAGACAGAGAGAAAGGTCTTCCTTTGCCATTGGTTCACCCTCCAATGGCCGCCGCGGCCAGCATGCTGCGGCCAGCACACCACGCTGATCCGATGGCAGGAGCCAGGTACTTCTCCTGGTCTACCATGGGGTGCAGGGCCCAAGGACTTGGGCCATCCTCCACTGCACTCCCTGGCCACAGCAGAGAGCTGGCCTGGAAGAGGGGCAACCGGGACAGAATCCGGCGCCCCGACCGGGACTAGAACCCGGTGTGCCGGCGCTGCAAGGCGAAGGATTAGCCTAGTGAGCCGCGGCGCCAGCAGATTTTAAGTTTTTCTTCCAGCTATAGGATGCTAGAAAGCAAGTTGAATTAGTTAAGTACCATCATGCATACTTTTCATTATAATGAGGAAAATAATCCAACTATTTTATAACTGTATTTCCGAAGTGTCCATTGACTCAACAAGGGGAGGATAAAGTTTATTTAAACAAAGGAATCATTTTTAAAAGTGCCGGCTTGATACTGATAGGGAATAGACACAATGGGAATGGACACAAATCCTCTACCACTGTTTCTGTGACCTTGCTACTTGCTTAACTTTCCTCAGTCACAAGTCTCTCATCTACAAAATGGTAACAATAATATCCACATTACAGAACTCGTGGGATGTCTGTCAGCAAGAGGTATTTTAGCACACATTCTGCGCCTGCCATTTAAACAGACCTGAAGCAATGGTAGTTCTTCGATAGCCTCACATGCATTAATACTGTTATGCGCAGCTTCAGACAGACTGTACCATTGTTAATTACTGGGCTGTGATGCAGGGGACTTTTTTTTTTTTTTTTTTGGCTTCAGGTAGAAGCTGTCCAACTCATAGCAGATGGAAAAGCTCCTCGAATTCCCCAGCCGGAAGAAGGGGCCACGTATGAAGGTATCCAGAAAAAGGAAAACGCCGAGGTACCTAAGTCAACTCAATGACACATCTCAGAGCTTTGAGTAGTTCCCAGTGCACTCGTTCCTGGCCAAAAGGCAGACCTCCAGGCCAACCCTCCCCGCCTCTGCCCCTGAAAGAGAGGAATTTCTATTGCTCTGAAACTCGGCATCAGGAGCTCAGCCTGTGCTTTGTGCTTTCCTAGATTTCTTGGGATCAGTCTGCGGAAGTCTTACATAACTGGATCCGAGGTCATGATAAAGTCCCTGGGGCCTGGACAGAGATCAATGGGCAGGTATGTCCTAGGGACCACTTTCCCCCCTCATACCACCTGAGGGGCTGGTGCTATGGCATAGTGGCTAAGCTCTGGCCTGCAGCACTAGCATCCCATAAGGGCACCTGTTTGAGTCCCGGCTGCTCCACTTCCAAGCCAGCTCCCTGCTAATGCACCCGGAAAGTAGCAGAGTTGGCCAAACCTTTCTTTATTTTTTAAAGGCTCTACAAAGATGTCTTGGCTTCTCCCGGTTCATCTCTCACTTAAGAGAGGGGTTTATGATTCCCTTGCCTTGATTCTGCCAGAATTGAGCTTTACTGTGAAACAGTCTTAGGAGCCTGCAGTTTGATGGGGAAAGCAGAGAAGCGAGTTGATATGCAGAATGCCCTAAGTGCTGCCATCGAGGCCCAGACTCGAGTGAGCCAGGCAAGGCTACCTGGAGAAGCGCACTGCTTTGCTCACACTTTGAAAAGTATTAACCAAGTGCAGAGCAAACAAACAGGAGAAGCCCTGAGGAGAGGACTCCGGTACCCAGGCAGGGACTCCAGAAAAAAGAGTTAATGAAGCCAGACCCTCAGCTGTGGGGAAGGGCACAGGAGAGAGGAGACAGGGGAGGCGGGCAGCACCAGGGGCCTTGGATCCTGGCTCTCAGGGTTCACCTCTTCTGGGAGTTTTCTGATCTCACAGATCCAGCCCGGCAGGGTTTGGTGTCCCTCCCTCCTCCGTGTTCCAATGGCACTCTGCCAACCTCTGTAGGGGTGTCAGTGACCCCTCCCCACGCACACCACAAACTATGCACTCCTTAGGGGCCAGGCTTCCTGTTATTGTATTGATCATCTCAGCACCTCAGCAGGATTCCTGGTGCATACCAGGTGCTGTGGGATCACTGAATGAGCAAGGATGTTTGGTGTAGGTAGCAGCGGGCATCTGAAGGCAGAGCGTGTCTATTAGAATTCTGGCTCTGAGGTCAGTGTCTGGCCTAGTGGTTAAGACACTGGGTAGGATGCCTGTGTCCCATCTTGGAGTACCTCGGTTCAGTACCTGGCTTCAGCTCCTGGCTCCAGCTTCTTGCTAATGCAGATGCTAGGAGGCAACGGCGATGGCTCAAGTGATTAAGTTCCTGCCATGTACATGGGAGACCTGGGGTGGGTTCCCGGCTCCCATCTTCAGCCCAGCCCAGGTCCAGCTGTTGCAAGCATTTGAGAGGGTGAACAAGTGGACAGGAGCTAGTTCTCTTTCTGCCTCATAGATAGATAGATAGATAGACAGACAGACAGACAGATAGACACAAAAATCTGGCTCTGCCATCATTAGCTATGTAGCCTCCCTTGGGCAAATTACTTAACTACTGGGACCCTTAGCTTTCTCAGGACTAATACTACTGCCTCCTGTATGGGTCATGGGTTATTGTAAAGATTAAGGGAGTCAATACATGCTAATTCACATAAGTACTAAGTACATACTTAGATGATGAACTCAAGAAGTATTAACTATCTTAGTGCTCAGTAAGTGATAACTAACAGTCACTGAATGGGAACAAGACACCAATCAGTGTCAGTTTCTCTGCATGCCAGTCTGGATCTGGCCCCTCACTTCTCATCACACTGTATTGTAATTGTCTGTTTGCCGCTGTGAGTCTCCCCTCACGGACACCTACCCTCAACACCTCCACACACCCCCATCCTGCCTTCAGGCTGTCAACGCCCAGAGCCTTTGATCTCATTCACCTTTGTCTTGCCAAGGACACATGTGAATTTATACTCATGTTGCCTAGCTGTGGTCATTTTGAAACTTTTCAATCACCTATTCACACACCATCTCTTGCTTTGTGCCCATGCTTGATAAGGTCTCACACTGGTGTATATCAGTCTTATCACAGATCATAATTTGAACGTCATCTGTTTCTTTTTTTTTTAAAGATTTGTTTATTTTACTTGAAAGAGTTACAAAGAAGCAGAGGCAGAGGGAGAGGGAAAGAGAGAGAGAGAGAGAGAGAGAGAGAGAGATGTCTTCCATCCGCTGGCTTACTCCCTAACCGCCCGCGGTTGGAGCTGGTCTGATCTGAAGCCAGGAGCCAGGAGCTTCTTCCAGGTCTCCTACACAGGTGCAGGGGCCCAAGGACTTGGGCCATCTTCCACTGCTTTCCCAGGACATAGCAGAGAGCTGGATTGGATGTAGAGCAGCCGGGACTTGAACTGGTGCTCATATGGGATGCTGGCACTGCAGGTGGTGGCTTTACCTGCCATGCCACAGCGCCAGGCCCCTAGCTGTTTCTACAGGGAGTAATGCACACCCCTGTGGACAGCTTGGCTTCCCAATCTGACTGTCTGGGTTTGATGTCTTTGTTAGATGGTCACCTTCTATGGCTCGTCATTACTGAATAGCTCTGTGCCTCCTGGAGAACCACTGGAAATTAAAGGTGCCAAGAAGCCTGGTCTTGTTACCAAAAACGGACTTGTTCTTTATGGTAACGATGGCAAAGCAGTGAGTGTTGCTTTTGATCACCTCTGAAACAACTGTTTGGGTTCCTCCATAACCCAAGCTCTTCAGGCGATTGCTTGCACTTGCTTATGTGGCTTTGGCTGGGATGTGGGGAAGCGCAGGAGATCTGTGCCTCCATTCTTTTCAGGGACTGAGCTGCCTCCAGGTGCCCTACGTGGACAAGACCCCTCAGGATAAGCCCCACAGAGCCACACGTACTGGTGTGCACAGGGCAGGAAGAGCTAGGAATCTACTCAGGGGACCAGGATGTGCATCCCTTCTTAGCACTCACGGGTCATGGGCAGGATGGCTCTCCCTCTGAGTCCTACTTTACCTGCCCGTAAAACAGAGAGGGAACCCACCTGTCTCCCTTCCCACTGCCAGAGCCTGAGGGGTGTGGGGAGGGGGGGCTCAAGCGAGTGGATGTGGCCCTCTTCAGGTGCACCCTGCCATGGCCTCACCAGGCAGGTGGCACCCACACTGCCTGGACTCAGTAGTGCTGGCTCTGGTCTCAGAGTGCTCTTGGACAGCTTCCCCACAAGGAGTGCAGAAGGGGATTTGCAGCAGGATAAACCAGTTGCTAAGACTGTAGGCTCTGGAGTCCAGCGAATGCCGGGTACTAATCTCAGCTTTGTTACTGAGCAAATTACTCAACCACATTGAGTCTCTGTTTCTGCATCGGCAAAATGGGAGTAATGATGGCATCTGGCATCTGCCTCCGTGAGGATGTATGACGCTAGAGAAGGTAGCCCAACCCACGCACACGCACTTCACTGTAAGTGCTCAGGTAATGGTGACAGCAGAATGCTAAGTAGTATCTGCTGTCATAGTGGGTTTTAATCCAAATACCTGCACCCAAAGGTCAGTCTTTCCAAGGCTTGCTCCCCATTTGACATGTGCCCCTACGCTTGACTGTCTCCTTTCTGCTGTCGTGATTAAAATGCCACTTTAGTCCTTTCGCATAATAGTGCATGTTTTTAAATGATATTTTTGTAATTTCCAAGCAAGCTTGTCCTTAAATCCCCACAAATATGCTTCCTTCTCCCACCACTTTCTCTCCTCACCACTTTCAACCTGTCCTAATTAACCCTTGTTTTGATGCTATTTTGTAGCTGATGGTAAGAAATCTGCAGTTTGAAGATGGGAAAATGATTCCTGCCTCTCAGTACTTTTCAGCGGGTGAGACGTCCGTGGTAGAACTCACAGCTGAAGAGGTGAAGGTGGCTGAGACCATCAAGGTGAACATGTGATGTCTTTAATATCACCCCGATCTCTAACCACGGGAGCATATTCATAGCCGGTACTCTCAGCCCTCAGCGTAGTGAGGTTGCAACTGTATTTCCTCCTTATTGTATTAATTGTGATAGGAAATCAACCTCAATATATATATATATATGCTCAAACAAGAGTGTATCTAAATTTATTTCTAATATAAGCAACCAAGGCAGTTCTAGGTTGGCATGGGGGGTGCGGACAGGAGTGGAGTCACATGGGAAGCAGGAGTCTGCTATCATCAAGGTCATTTCCATTCTGGACAGCGGAAAGAGCACAGAGAATTGCATGCAGGAGGTTTTGCCTAGGCCAACACTGGGGTGGTGAAGGTCAAGTCCACTCACGTTCGTGAGCCGCATCTGCTTTGACGCGATGCTGAGGACTGGATGACAGGACCGTGTGTACAGGATGGAGAGGAGACAGGCGGGGCAGAGAGCGAGCCAGCCTCCTCCACGCTGTTCTGTGAGACACTGCCCTCATCCCAGTTTCGCTTTTTGCGTAGCTCATCTGGGCCGGAATTCTGAGCAACGTCCCTGTTATTGAAGACTCAACGGACTTCTTTAAATCCGGGGCTCGCTCCATGGATGTTGTCAGGTAGAACCGCCACTACAGTGACTCTCAGGCCTGCACTAGGGATTTGGGTTTGGACTGTCAAACCCAGGACCTTTGTTCTCCATCACACCTGTCTCCTTGTCTCCTGCTCGCTGCTTTACTTCCTCTCCTTTTGTTTCCATGGTGAAATCCAGATATCTGGGATACTAATCCTTCTAATTGTTCGTTTCTTTTTAAAACTCGTCCTCACATTTCTTAGCTGACTCTCCTCCAATATGGAGAAGCTCTGGGTAGTCTGATTCAGAAAGATTCTGACATCGATTATCACACTTCCTCTCAAATCTTTTTTTTTTTATTAAGATGTATTTATTTACTTAAGAGGCAGAGTTACAGAGAGAGAGAGAGAGAGAGAGAGAGAGAGAGAGAGAAAGTCTTCTATTGGCTGGTTCACTCCTCAAATGGCCACAACAGCCAGAGCTGCACCCATCTGAAGCCAGGAGCCAGGAGCTTCTTCCTGGTCTCCCAAATGGGTGCAGGGGCCCAAGCACTTGGGCCATCCTCCACTGCTTTCCCAGGCTGTCAGCAGGTAGCTGGATCAGAAGTGGAGCAGCGAGGACTCAAACAGGCACCCATATGGAATGCCAGCGCCGCAGGCAGAGGATTATCCTACTATGCCACAACGCCAGCCCCAGTCCTCAAATTTTTTTTCTCCCAGTGTCCAAAATCACCCAGTGAGATGGATCTAGAATGAAGGTTGGCAGGCTACTTGCAGACGTAGGTAATCACCCTATAGTTAGAATGTGTCTACAGTGAATTACAGCAAGCTGCAAGGCTGGGTCCGGGAGTCTCCCCTGTGGCAAGGAGAGTGAACCTGCAGAGATCCTTTATCTTTACTGGGGGTGACGGGACAACTGGGAACTACCCAGGGGCTGTGCAGTCCTTTGATGATACTGCCAAGAATAGAAGCCAAGGAGTTTTTGACCCCAGGTCACACTAAGGTCATTCACTAATTAAATGAGGTAAAGAATGTTCCTCCTGGGACTGGCATGTGGCGCAACATGTTAAGCTGCCACCTGTGACACTGGCATCCCACATTAGCACTGGTTCCAGTCCCAGCTGCGCCACTTCTGATCCAGCTCCCTACTAATGCACCTGGGATGGCAGCAGATGATGGCCCGAGGACTTGAATCCCTGCCACCCACATGGGAGACCCCAGAAGAAGGTCCTGGCTCCTGGCTTCAGCCTGGCCCAGCTCTGGCTATTGTGGCCATTTGGGGAATGAACCAGTGGATAGAAGATATCTCTGTCTCTCTCTTTAACTCTACCTTTCAAATAAATAAGTAAATCATAAATAAAACAAAACAAAGAGAATGTTCCTCCTCTTAATGTAATCCTTCCTATCAGCAGAGCAATATTACTGATATTTATTTTATTTATCTCTGTGTATCATGTATTCACTCATTGATTTGACCTGATTTATTGAACAATTACTACCTATTGGGAACAGTTTGGCACTGAGGATACAGTTACGAACGAGACAGCGTCCCTTTATTTATTTGTGGGGCATTTATTTCAGTCATTGAAAACTGTCGTTCCAAGAGCGTGTAGTATTATCCAAAGCTGAGAGTTTTGCTTCCTCAAATTACAGATTTTTCAGCTATGATTCATGAGTTCCCAGAAACTTCAAATGAGCTTAACTAAAGCTTTCAGCTGTGTTATTAATACAGTTATTTGCTAGCAAGACACTCCTGCAGGAATTGTTCATTCCTGTGTGTCCGACTTAGCATTATCATCTAGTAGCATCATCTCCATAATATTCTCTGATATTATCTCTAGAACTAAGAGACCTCATCTCTTTTGAAGAATAAATGACTGAACAACAATTGGAATGAGCGTTCTATACTGCACCTGGGATGCCACTGCCATTCAAGAAATGTCAGCAGCTGTAACTTGAAAAAATAACAGGAAGGCTGGCGCCGCGGCTCACTAGGCTAATCCTCCGCCTTGTGGCGCCGGCACACCGGGTTCTAGTCCCGGTCGGGGCGCTGGATTCTGTCCTGGTTGCCCCTCTTCCAGGCCAGCTCTCTGCTGTGGCCAGGGAGTGCAGTGGAGGATGGCCCAAGTGCTTGGGCCCTGCACCCCATGGGAGACCAGGATAAGTACCTGGCTCCTGGCTTCGGATCAGCGCGATGCGCCGGCCGCGGTGCGCTGGCCGCGGCGGCCATTGGAGGATGAACCAATGGCAAAGGAAGACCTTTCTCTCTGTCCTTCTCTATATCTGTCAAAAAAAAAAAAAAAAAAAAAAAAAAAAAAAAAAAACAGGGAAAATCAAGGATTGGAAAGGACTTAAAACATTATATTGACCCACTGCCTGATTCTAGCTAGAGCTATGTGAAGCACATAATATAGGCAGCGTCTGCTTTTCTTGTGCACAGTCCACAGGAAACAGTCTGCAGTATGACGTTCATTTCTCATGATCTTTACAGCTAGGGAACCGCCTTTAGTTACTATTCCTCGAGTGTAAAGGGGTCTTCAAAAAGTTCATGGAAAATGCATATTATGAAAAAAAACTAGGCATGCATTTCAAAGTGTTTTGCACCAAAATAAACTTCTCTTTTACTCCATTGCCATGAACTTGGTTTTATTCTATGAACTTGTTGAAGAGCTCTTGTACTGGAAAGGAACGTTGCTGACTTATGTGCTCCTTACTATCTTGCTGGTGACTAATTAACATGTTTTCCTGTTGATTTCTTTCCTTGTTAGTCATGGATGACGTTAAAAACAACCATCCTTCAAGACAGATTTTTAAAATATTCTTGCCCCCAGTCTTATCAACCTCTCCACTTACTATCACCGAGAACTCATAGGCTATATGTGGGCAGTGACACAAGTCTTACTTTGCAACAACCTGATGAATGCTAACCGTGCAGCCCCCTAAATGCTATGAAAACTGTAAGTAACGTGAGTTGGTTCTTGCCTTCAGGCTGGTGGAAGAGATCAGACAGAAGTGTGGCGGGCTTCAGTTACAGAATGAAGACGTCTACTTGGCCACCAGGTTTGAAGACTTCATCCAAAAGGTCGTGAGGAAGCTGAGAGGAGAGGACCAGGAGGCAGAGCTGGTGGTGGACTATGTGAGCCTTCCCTCCATGTGTCCGTTCACAGCATTCGCATCCAGACACGCCTGCAAATGCTGGGCTTTTACACTTTCAGCTTCACTGAGACCTAAGCCAGATACACAAATTAAAAATGTGCATTTCAATGGGGTTTTAAAAAGATTTCTTAATTTGTTTGGTTTTTGAGTGGCAGAGGGAAAGGGAGAGAGAAAAAGAGATATCCTGTGTCTGCTAGTTCATTCCCCAGATGGCCACCCAGCTGGGTCTGGGCCAGGCCAAAGCCAGGATCCAGGAACTACATCCAGGTCTCTCCAGAACTTGGGCCATCATCCACTGCCTTCCCAGGCACATTAGTGGGAAGCTGAATTGGAAGTGGAGCAGCCGGGACTTGAACTGGACTCCAATACTGAATGCTGGCATTGCAAGTGGCAACCTAACCTGCTGTGCCACAGCACTCACCCACAGTGATTTTTAGTATGGCCACCGAGCTGTGCAACCATCACCACTCTAATTTGAGACAATTTTCATCCCCCAGACAGAATCCTGTACCCACTGGCAGTCATTCTCTACTCCCTCACCCCCACCTCCTACTCCAGCCCCTGGAAACCACCAATCTCCTTTCTGCCTCTATGGGTCTCTCTATTCTAGCTATTTCCTATAAGTGGAATCAGAACACATGACATTTTGTGTTGAGCTTCTTTCACTTAGCATAATAGGTTCCAGATTCATCTGGGTTGTAGTGGCTGTCACCTCTCCATTCCTTTTTCTGGCCAAATAATATTCCACAGTTTCTTCGTCCAGGCATCTGTTGATTTATGAGTTGACACACAATTAGGTTCTTTCTACCTTTGGACTAGTAATACTGCTATGAAAATTCATGTGCACGTTTTTGTGTGAACATATGTTTTCATTCCTTCTGGGTACATGGCTAGGAGCAGAACTGATGAGTTATATGGGGACTATGTTTCACTTTTAAGTAAAAGCCAAACTGCTTTCCAGGGCAGTCACACCATTTTATAATCCTCCCAGTAATGTATGAAGGTCTCACTTCTCCACATCTTTGCCAGCACTTGCTGTGATTTGTCTTTTCTGTTAGCTGTCCTAGTGTGTGTGAAATAGTGTCTTGCTGCGGTCCTGGTTTGCATTTCCCTAATGAATAATGACATTGAGCAGCTTTTCATGGCTTATCAGCTGTTTGCATGTCTTCTTTGGAGAAGTGTCTGTTCAAATCCTTCGCCCATTTTTAAATTGGTCTTCTGTTTGCCACTTTACGGTTGACTTGTAAGAGTCCCTTGTAATTTTGGATACCAGGCCCTTATCAGGTATGTAATTTGCAAATGTCCTCTCTTATTCTGTGGACTTGCAATTCACTCTCTTGATAATGTCCTTTGAAACACAATTTATCTATTTTCTTTTGCCATTTGTACTTTCTATATGTCACGTCTCCTCCTTTACTGCCTTCTTTGTGCTAGTTATTGTCTGGGATGCCATCTTAATCCCTTATTATTTCTTTTACTATATTTTTAGTTATTTTCTTAGTGATCAGCTTAGGGATTACAATGAATAGTTTTGCTTAAAACACTCCAGTTCAGATTAATACCAACTTAGTACAGCTAGCATAGAAAACCTTTGCTGCAATATGGCTCTGTTCTATACCCCCCAATTTATGTCACTATTATCTATAAATTACTTCTTTATATATTACAACCCCACTAGTACAGTTTTGTAATTATTGCCTTAGGCAGTTATCTTTTATTTATTCATTTATTTAGTTTTAAAGCTTTATTTCAAAGGCAGAGTTACAGAGAGAAGGAGGGAAAGACACAGAGAGAGGTCTTCCATTCACCAGTTCACTCCCCAAATGGCCACAATGGCTAGGGCTGGGCCAGATCAGAGCCAGGAGCCAGAAGCCAGGAGCCAGGAGCTTCTTCCTGGTCTCCCACATGGGTGCAGAGGCCTGAGTTCTTGGACCATTTTCCTTTCCCAAGTGCTTAGTAGGGAGCTAGATTGGAAGTAGAGCAGCCAGGACTCGAACTGGTACCCATGTGGGATGCAAGCATTTCAAAAAGCAGCTTTTCCCACTGTGTCACAAGGCCAGTCCTCATTTATCCATTTTTAAAACTGTATTTATGGGGCCAGTGCTGTGGTGTAGTGGGTAAAGCTGCCACCTGAAGCGCCAGCATCCCATATAGGCACCGGTTCGAGTCCCAGCTGCTCCTCTTCTGATCCAGCTCTCTGCTATGGCCTGGGAAAGCAGAAGATGGCACAAGTCCTTGGGCCCCTGTACCCATGAGAAGTACCTGTACAATGGAAGAAGCTTTGGCTCCTGGCTTCGGATTGGTGCAGCTCCAGCTGTTACGGCCAACTGGGAAGTGAACCAGCAGATGGAAGACCTCTCTCTCTCTCTCTGCCTCTCCCTGCCCTGCCACCGTATAACTCTTTCAAGTAAATAAATAAATAAATCCTTTTTTAAAAAAGTGTATTTATTTCAGAAGCAGAGAGACATAGATAGACAGAGCTTCCATTAGCTAGTTTACTCCCCCAAATACCCCCAACAGCAAGAACTGGGCCAGGCTAACCCATGGTGTGGGAACTCAATCCAGGTTGCCCACGTGAGTGCCTGGGACCAAATCTGCATGGGCAGGAAGCTGGAGTCATGAGCTGGATCCAGGCATCAAACCCAGGTACTTCAGTGCGGGATACAGATAGTCTAACCAGCATCTGACCCGCTAGGCTAAACAACCATAACAGTTGTATTTTAATTAGGATAGAGGAATGAAAGAGTTCAAAATAGGAGTCTATTTTTTTTTTTTTTTTTTTTTGGACAGGCAGAGTGGACAGTGAGAGAGAGACAGAGAGAAAGGTCTTCCTTTTGTCATTGGTTCACCCTCCAATGGACACCACGGCTGGCACGCCATGCTGATCCGAAGGCAGGAGCCAGGTGCTTCTCCTGGTCTCCCATGGGGTGCAGGGCCCAAGCACTTGGGCCATCCTCCACTGCACTCCCTAGCCACAGCAGAGAGCTGGCCTGGAAGAGGAGCAACCGGGACAGAATCCGGTGCCCCGACCAGGACTAGAACCCGGTGTGCCGGCGCCGCTAGGTGGAGGATTAGCCTAGTGAGCCGCGGCGCCGGCCAATAGGAGTCTATTTCTACCAACTTCCACATTTATTTAAGCGGTTAACTCCACCAGTCCTCTCTGTTTCTTTTGTGTGGATTTAAGCCACTGGCGAGTGTTCTTCCATTTCAGCCTGAAGGACTCCTTTTAGTAGTTTTTGTAGCCCAGGTGTGCTAGCAATGAATTTTTAAATTTTTGTTCATTTGGGAATAAATTTCTCCTTCATTTTTGAGAGACATTTTTGCTGTATGAAACAGTTTTCATGATCTTTATTTTATTGCTAAAAATTGGGCTTCATAGCAATTGACTAATCTAAATTCACTTGCTAAACAACGGTGGAGAGTACAATTTAGGCAACATGTATGTAACAGAGAGAAAGCGAAAATTGGGAGGAAACACTTAAAATGGCACTAATGTAATAGGAAACCTATTGGCATTTTCAGATTTAAATGCAATCAATGGCTGTGCTCCATCAGTGCTGTCACTAGATGGCGGTGTGTCCATTAGCTACAGGTCTTGTGTGTTGGCTTCATCCTACAGACTCTGAGCTCTGTATTTATAAAGTCCAACCTGGGGTTCTGCACATCACAGTTACTAACTTCTTGCCTCAGGGCCCAAGCAGAGCATCTTGGGCCTAGATCTTACCTGTGCTTGTATCTTCCACTGACTTAACTTCTCTCTCTGCGTTAGTAAGCTCTTTATTGCTATTTAATATCAAATCAATAAACCCAGAAACCCACTGATTCTGTTAACAGAATTCTCTCTTTCATAGGTTTCAAAGGAGGTCAATGAAATGACAGTAAAAATGCCATACCAGTGTTTTATAAATGGAGAGTTCACGGACGCCGACGATGGAAAGACGTATGACACTATCAACCCAACGGATGGATCTGTGAGTGATGACACAGTGTGTGGGGACAACGGGTCATGCAGTTGCACTTTATACACAGGTATAAAACAGGCAGTCTTAAGGAGTCTTAAGGAGCTACCTATTGTCTGTCTGTCCCTCTCTCTCTCTGCCACCACGCATTTCATACAAATGTACCTCATATGTATCTTTCAACTTATCTATTCCCTTGTTGCTATTAACTATAGAAATCTAGTTACAGACTGGCTATTTATGATGACTTTAATCAAACAGCTGTACCTGTACCTGTCACAGGCACCCCTGTGCATAGAGCTGTGTGTGGAAAAATTTGTACATTCTTTGAATAATCATGGTAAGGAATTCAGCTTCCTTAAGGCACCAGAAGAAACAGTGTTTCCAAATGCACCCTTCCATAATGTAGGCTGGCATGAAACGTCCCAGTGCCAGATGGCTCATTTTCAAGCTAGGATTGTTCCTTTTTCTTTTTTCTCTTTCTAAAAGATTTACTGATTTATTTGAAAGTCAGAGCAACAGAGAGAGAGAAGAGAGATATGTTTCATCCTCTGGTTCATTCTCCAAATGGCTGCAACAGCCAGGGCTGGGCCAGGCTAAAGCCAAGATCCAAAACCTCCATCCGGTTCCTCCATGTGAGTGGCAGGGGCCCATGCACTTTGGGCCATCATCTGCTGCTTTCCAGGTGCATTGGCAGGGAGCTGGTTCGGAAGCCAGGTAGCCAGGACTTAAATGGTGCTTCAGTTTGGGATGCAGGCATTGCAGGTGGTGTCTTAAACTGCCACACCACAATGCTGGCCCCTCTTTTTTCTCCACTCCTTTTTTTTTAAGATTTATTTATTTTATTTGAAAGGCAAAGTTACAGAGAGGCAGAGGCAGAGAGAGAGAGAGAGAGAGCCTTTTATATACTCATTCACTCCCCCAAATGGCCACGACAACCAGAGCTGTGCCGATCCAAAGCCAGGGGCCAGGAGCTTCTTCCAGGTCTCCGACACAGGTGCAGGGGCCCAAGGACTTGGGCCATCTTCCACTGCTTTCCCAGGCCGTAACAGAGAGCTGGATCGGAAGAGGAGCATCGGGACTTGAACTGATGCCCACATGGTGTTACGCCACAGCACCAGCCCCTTTTCTTTACTCTTTTAATGGACGCATTAATTTTCCATCATAACATCCTTTGGATTTTATTAGCAGTACTCTATTTCTCCTAGTAATGTAATATTAACGCCAAGGACCACATGTATGTGTGTTTTACATAATCTGTTTTTATTTACCTTGTAATAGACAATATGCAAAGTCTCCTATGCATCTCTGGTGGATGTCGATAAGGCAGTAGCAGCCGCGAAAGAGGCTTTTGAAAACGGAGAATGGGGAAGAATGAACGCGAGAGAAAGGGGACGACTGATGTACAGGTGAGCGTGTTTTTTAGCTGAAAGTCAGAGAGACTTCTCACCTGCTAGTTCACTCCCCAAATGCCTACAGCAGGCAGGGGTGGACCAAGCTAACGCGAGAAGCTAGGAACTCAGTCTGGGTCTCCCACACGGATGTCAGGGACTCTACCACCGCATCTCAGGGTGTGTGTGTCAGCACAAAGCTGGACATGGGAGCAGGGACAGAACTTGAGCCCAGGCACTCTGATATGATATATGACATCTTAACCAGTGTACAAAATCCGTGCATACTTTTTAGAAAAGCAAGTCTACAACCTTTGGATATTGTCTAATATTGCCAAGATTTTTAAAAATTTCTACAAAACATTTTAGTATGCACCTGTGATGGACTGTGCCCGCTGTTGTTGGATCATGTAACATCCTGTATACATGAGCTCCTGATGTTTGTGTTATGGTTGGTATCAGCTGGAGTCCCCGTAGGAAAGAGGTTTGGTAAAGGACAATTTACAGAGATGCGGGTGAGGTCTCGGCTATCCAACAGAGGATCCTGAGGCACCCCCAGGTGTGGCCAGCGGCAGGGGAAGCTGTTCCTCCCCCAGGGTCTCGGGCAAGGAGCCAGGAGCTGTTACTGGAATCTAGCAAGATCTGCAGCTGTAGACGACCATGTGACAGTGGCCGCTGGTGCAGGGACACAGCAGCTCCTGGCCCACGGCCTATCAGGGAGCTGAATCCCCTGACCACTTTTTCCTCCAGTTCCCCGGCCTCCTGCAGGTGCCTCCTGGGGTCTGTCATTGGCCAAGCCTGTGAGGGAGCAAGGAGCCAGGTGAGGTAGACTATAAAGGTCACCTGCCAAGGCCACACAGCAGGATAGAGAATGGATAGAGAGGTGCGAACGGAGAACACCCACCACCCTGCTTTCAGCCAAGCCTCAGTCTTCTCCCCACCCCTCCTCCATGTTCAAATACATTAATGAAAAGGAAAAACAAGATTTCTTAGAGCAAAATTTGGAAGAAACACTGAGGGAGGGGGATTTCAAGCCTGAATCTAGGACACCTCAGAAAACTGTTAAAGTTAAGAAGGAAAACAAATGGAGGAGGGAAATACAAAAGATGAATTTTGACCATGTTATAGACTTTATACTTGTACTTATCTTCCCATAGAAAATGAACACCAAACAGAAATCAACTGTGGGGTTTGTCAGTCATTCCACAGGTATTCTTTGGTTAGTGCTGTCAGCTCTCCATGTCTACAGATTCTCACATCCATGGATCCAGCCAATATTAGACAGAAAACATTTTTTAAAAATGCAACTGTATTGAACATATACAGACTTTGTTTCTTGTCATTATTCCCTAAACAATACTTGTATAGTCCAACATCTACATAGCATTAGGTAATATAATAGCATTATATTAGCAATAGGTAATGTAAGTAATTTAGAGATGATTCAAAGTATAGGGGGGAATTATGTAGGTTTTATGCAAATATTATGTCATCTTTTGTAAGGGTCTTGAGTATCTAAGGATTTTGGCATTGCAAAGGGTCGTGGAACCCATCCCCCATGAGTACCAATGGACGCTGTATTTCTGTACCAACCAGAAATCCTCAAGTGTTCATACATTCTCAAGGGGTGTGGGTTGCCCCATAATATCTCCCTTTGCATTCATGAACTGTGCACCTGCCCGGTGTTTTCCATCATCGATCACCTTGGACTACCACAGCGCAGTCACTGTTCTACTTGTTACACCTAGACTCACACGTGGCAAGAGATACACGCTTCCAACACCTTCCGCTTTTCCTTTGTCACTCTGGAAGCAAACTACTTATGAAGTTCTTTGTTGGCTCTGCAGTAAGGACTGGCTCCTGATTCACTCATCTTTACCTCTGAGTTGTCCGTCCTGTGATGCTGCCTTCCACGGCTTCAACATTTCATGAATGCCTCTCTTTCGCCAACCGCAGACTCGCAGACTTACTGGAAGAGCATCAGGAAGAGCTGGCAACCATTGAAGCCCTCGATTCAGGCGCCGTCTACACCCTGGCTCTGAAGACTCACATTGGAATGTCTGTGCAAACATTCAGATACTTTGCTGGCTGGTGTGACAAAATTCAGGTACCCACCAATGTTATTTGTTTGAAAGGGGGAAAGGACGAACATTTATTAGCTGATGCCAGGCACAGTGTCTGATCTTCGCTTTATACAGGTTTCCTCACTCACGTGGCCTGCCTGTCTTAGCCCTTTTTGAGCTGCTATAACAGAACACCTGAGATTGGATAATTTATAGAAACAAGACTTTATTCTCTCCCAGTTCTGGAGGCTGAGAAATCCACGATCAGGGAGCTAGCAGGTTTGGTCCCTGGCTCCAAGACAGTGACCTGTAGCTGCACCCTCCAGAGAGGAGAAATGTGTCCTTGGATGAGAGCAGAGAAGAGTGACCGCGCTCCTGCGAGCCCTCTTGTATACAGCGTGAATCCATTCGTAAGGGCACAGCCCCACCACCTCCCCTTAGGCCCCATCTCCCAGCACTGCTGGGTGCACGGAGGGATGCATTCAGACCATCGCAGTGGTCACAACATCCCTGGGAAGGAAATGGGTGGACCCGACCCCCTGATTACAGGGAAGGGGAGAGAGGCTTGGGGAAATGAACGCCTTTCCTGTCACCCATAGCAAGGAAACCAGAAGACCAGGTTTGAACTCAAGATTTTCTGTATCTGAAGTCTAACAGTAAGCTGTGCACTTTAACAGCTCCTGTCCAGGAAGCCTCTGGACTGACTGACAGGTTCCTGGGATCACAGAGGGGTTCCAAATTCACAAGTCCACAGAGGCCAGGGAGTTCATGTAAATCATAGAAGTAGACTGAGTATAAAAATTTTTTTATAAAGACATGGGTGCAATAAAAATTCCATTTTCCTTTTACTCGAAGATAAAGAATAGCACCTGCGTATTGATAAATGTCGCTCCCCCTCTTCGTGGAGGAACGACACAGGACCCTGCGCTGTTCTTTCGTCTGCTCGGCCCTCCCCGGGTTTGCTGCTGGTTCTTCCCGGGTTGGCTACTATCCCTTCCACCTCCGTGGAAGGGCAGTTCCCCCTGGCCACATTCCCCACTTCCGCAGGGGAGCGGCACACCGCCGGCCGGCTCTCTCGGGGGCTGCACGGGTGTTCCTTCAGCTAGATGTTCCCCTTAGATGTTCCCGGTGCATGCCGTCTCTCTCCTCCTTTATAGTCCTCCTCCGCCAATCCCAACTCGGCTGCCCACACGCCGAGTACGCTGCTCTCCAATCAGGAGCAAGTCCTACAGTTTATTAGTTGAACTGGAGGCAGCTGTGCGGAAGCTGTTTACTTCTCTCCCAGCGCCATATTGTGGGAGAGCAGATGCATAGAATAAGTCTTAATTCCAGTAACTCAGTCCAGTCCGGATTGCTCCCCACAATAAATGGCAAGAACACTTGGCCTGACCACTGGGGATACAAGGGAAGAGTAAGGACTATGGCACACAGCAGAGTGCATGCTGCTCCTACCTGCATGATAGCTGCTGCAGTTTCAGTTATCACAACCAAATTCCCAGCAGGAAGATGGAGGAAGCGGGAAATGGAGAGAAGGGCTACCGGGCTTTAAGAGGTACTCCCTCTCCTGGGGCTGTGTGCCTGTGTTTCCCACAGGCCCTGTCCATCTGCTAAGGAGACTGGGACACATGATTTCTATCAGGGTGCATTGCTGCCACTGATCTTAATACAAAGTCAAGTGCGTCCAAGTGCCAAGCACCAGCTGATATGCTATCTCTAAGCTTTACTCTCTTCATCTGTAAAATGGTCACAATAATACATACCTCGCAAGTTAAGGGGATTGAAAACAAGTGTTTATAAATTACCGAATTAGACAAGTCTGCAACATGATGGGCCTTGCATATAAATGAGGGTTTTGTTTTTTTTTTGTTTTGTTTTGTTTTGTTTTTTTTATTGTTCAGGCACAAAGTCATGCATATGTGGGTATTTAGTAATGGTGGTTCAGGTCCAACCCTGACCCTGATTCTGAAATCCGAATATCTCCGAAACCCCAAAACTGATTTGTTTGATTGGCTCAAACTCATCTGGTGCCAAACCCTGACCTTGAATGAAAATGAATCTATTGATGATCTTTATTTCTTCCTGTCACTTATTTACCTCACTTCCACGAGGTCCAAAGGCAGGCAGGCAGGCAGGGCTAGTGGGTGAGACAGATGCCAAGCCATCCCTAGCACTCTGTGACGCGTTCACTAAAGGCTGTCTCTTGGCCTCCTGACAACACTGAAGTGCCAGCCATCCCAGCAACCTTCTGAGCAGAAAGAAGGAAGAAGCAATCGGCGAGAAAGGAGGGGAGGGTAAAAGAGCGCTTGTCTGAGGCGAGTCACCCACTTACTGAGCATTCCTCTTGCGATGCCCTCTGCTTTCACCTGTCATCGACCACCCCTATCTGTTATAGACACTGGGAGTCACATTTTATCTGGGTACCTTGCTTATTAAGGTAGGGATTCTGCTCACAAGGACAAAGGAGAGAGTGGACATTAAGCAGGCAATTAACATTCTCTGCCACACCAACAAGTTGGGAATGGGTGGTGACTAAATGAGTATTGTGTTTGTTCTGGGAAAGAAGTCTCTTTTTTTTTTTTTTTTTTTGGTCATGGATTTTTTTTTTTATAAATCAAACACATCTTTTTCTTATCAGCTAAGAAAAAACAAGAACAGAAAATGGACTTTGAGGTTAAATTTCCTAGTTTAAATGAATACAATCAGGATCAACGTTTTTTATTCTTTAGGGTTCTACAATTCCAATCAACCAGGCCCGTCCAAATCGCAATCTGACCTTCACCAAGAAGGAGCCACTTGGGTAAGACAACACGGGGCTTCTGAGCGACTCACAGATTGTTCACTCGAGACCACCAAGGATGTCGATTTGTCCCCCTGCAGGGTCTGTGCCATTATCATCCCCTGGAACTACCCGCTGATGATGCTGGCATGGAAAAGTGCTGCGTGCCTGGCAGCAGGCAACACCTTGGTGCTCAAGCCGGCACAGGTACGATGCCACAGGGCCAGGTTTACAGTCACCTGCTCTCCTAGACACTTAAAACAGAGCCATGCCTTTATACGCAGAATAGCTGTAAGCAAAAATGGGTTGCAGCTTATGAGAGCTTTTCATGTACCACAGACAACTTCTCACCTTAGTACATGCTCATCCTTAATAACTACCTAGTGCTGTTTACCCTAGCCATTAAAATGCCACTTGGGATGCCCACATCCCAAATTGGAGTGGTTGGGTTCAGGTCTCGGCACCACTCCACAATCCGGCTTCTTGGTGATGTACACCCTGGGAGGCAGCAGGTGATGGCTCAAATACTTGGGTTCCTACAGCCTACATGGGAGATCCAAATGGAGTTAGAGGCGCCAGCCCTGGATGTTGTGGACATTTGGAGAGTATACCAGAGAATAGGAGATCTCTCTCTCTCTCCCTTCAAATAAATAAAAAAATTTAAAATATAAAAAGTTTTAAATAATTTCATTAAAATATGTATACATTCGAAAATTTTGAAATGCATATGTCTTAAGAGAAGTAAATGGGCAAAAGCTGTCATTATGCCCCAGCCAATCAGTTTAATTCCCTAGAGGCAGCCAATATGATTAATGGTTTATTTATTAGTTTCTTAGGTCTTCCAGAGAAAATAATCTGCATCTACAGTCATGTACATATAAACAAGGGATTTTCTGGAAAATGAAATTAAAAGATGATTCAAGGGATAAGTGTTTGGCCTAGCGGTTGAGATGCTAGTTCAGACACCCATGTCCCATCTGGGATAGCCTGGGTTGGATGCTTGCCCCTGGCTCCTGATTCCATCTGCCAGCTACTGCAGACCCTGAGAGACAGGCAGCAAGTGCTGACTCGAGTACTTGGGTCCCTAACACACATTTGAGACAACTGGATTGAGATTCTGGCTCCCAGCTTTGGCCTGGTCCAGCCCTGGTCATTTTGGGTATTTGGAGAGAACCAGTAGATGGGAGCTCACTCACGCGCTCTCTCTCTCTCTCTACCTCTCAAATAAATAAATACACGCAAATTTTCCATGAATATTCATAGTTATATATATATTCATATTTAAACAGAAATCTACATATGAGTATATGGTTTTTAACCCATTAAAAACCCAGTGAGGAGGGAGAGGGAAACAAGATGAATAAGTTCTAGAAATCTGCTGTACAAAGTTGTGCCTGTTATTAACAATATTATATTCTATGCTTAAAAATTTAAAAGAATACTATCATGATAAGTGTACTTACCACAATAAAATCAAATTTAAAAGCACACCAGTAGAGTTCTATGCATACTTACCAAGGCAATTCTTATTTTAAAAATTTTCTTTTTATTTAACAGTATTCTATAGACAAACAATATCCTGTAATATTTCAGTTTCCAAGAACACATTTTATTTCATTAATCCATAATTAAGATCTGAATCTTCAGATTTTTCCACCTATTGTTAGTCTAAACTGCGCTGCAATTCATAACCTTATAGACACGTCATCCTGCACATGTGCAAGCACATTTATGAGGTATGTTGCTAGTAGCAGGATCATTTAGCTAGAAGACACATGTGTTTGTGTCATAGACAGGGACAAGTCCTTCCAAGGAGTTGTGCTAACTCCCCAGCGCTGTCGAAGAGTGCTGGACAGCAGCCCCTCCGCAGCACCACCCATGAAATGGCAAGAGGCAGACCCAGGGGGGAGAGGAGGCAATTTCTAGCCAAGTGTCTTCAAACGAAAAGTCATGTTATCTGGGCTCTGTTGGTCAAGATTCTGTTTTGACTGGCCCAGGCTGGAGCACAGTACTGGTGCTGCTTCAAAATTTCACATTTGTTTCTGTGGTACAGCCGGGGTGAAGAGCCAGCAACTGGTCCCCAGCGAGAGTGCTCAGCACTGAAGAATGTGAAAAGCCTAATGATGTCCAAATACCAGAAACTTTTACTGAGGGCACAGATCTGCACCTGACACTGTGCAAATGAGGCTGGCTCTGTCTGTGACTGAAAAGTGATTGACAGCTTACTCATGGGTCATGCTAATTCTGAGAATTAGCAACCCAGAGTTGCCATCATTGTATTGGAATTATTGTTTTAATTTTATTGACAATATTGTACAGTGATGGTATTTAATCATCCAGATGGGCATTAGGTATTCAAGCCGTGTGTGAACAGGACTGAATGTAGATGGTTCTTCCCCTTTTTTAAAAAAATAATTAACTTAAAGAGAGACAGATAGACCTTTCACCCCCACAAAACCTACGATAGCCAGGGCAGGGCCAGACCAAAGTTGGAATCTGGGAACCTAATCCATGTCTCCCATGTGAGTATCAGGGACCCAACCATTTGAGCCATCATCTACTGCCTCCCAGGGTGAGCATTAGCAGGAAGCTGGTTTGAAAGCAGAGTCAGGACTTGAACTCAGGCACTCTGATATGGGATGTGGGTGTCTTAAGAGCTAGACCGAACACCCTGCCCTAGTGTGTGACATCTATGCAAATTCTTTGGTGGCCACTTATCCATTTTATGAAAGTTGGTTTGCTTAACTAACTATCTGAGGGTACTTCAAAAAGTTCATGGAAGGTAGAATAAAAAGATCAGGTTTTTTTTTTTTTTTTTTTTTTTGATATTTTGGTTCTTCCAGAAGTTCATGGAAAATGTGTGCTATGAATAACTATGCATGAATTTCCAAATTTCTTTTCATCAAAATAAACTTATTATTTAGTTCCATTTTTCCATGAACACTTCGCTCTCCCCTTACATTGAGTCTGTGACCCAATGTAACCACATTCCCTGGCAATGCTCTGAAACAATTGAGCCTGTCAGGGCACCACTGCCACCCCCTAACCCCTGGGGAGCTCCAGTTCTGCGCTGGGACACGGCACAGACCCTGTGACCGAGCTTCAGACGGAGCGTGCCTTTGCCCACCACAGAACGGATGTGAGTTATGTACGTATAATTTATTTCTAATCCAAAATGTCACTCAAAATACATAAATAGAAAGTCCACAATTCGCTCTTCACACCTCAATGGATCTTGCACACTGCATTTATTTAGGGACCAAGCAGACTGACGAAGTACTAATTTAAGACTGAATTAGCATTGGTTTGTAGAGCATGAAAGTATGATTTCATTGTGCTTCTGAGACATGTGCCACTATAATAGACGTTCAAGTGAGCTCCACTGTATGCCCCTTTTTGTATAAGAAGGGGAAATAAGAAAATATGGTTTTGCTCGTTTGGACAAAACGAAATACCAAGAAGGGAAAAACCAGAGACTAATGAGGTTGATCATCTGTTATGGGAATGAGTATCTCAATTTTTATTCTAGGTTTTCACCCACAGAGATAAGAATTCTAAGCAGAGGCATTAGTAAGGTGCATACGTGAGGGCGGGATTTATTTAAGAGAGTGAGTGTGCATTCGTACAATAGTGGGCAACCCCACGTGGAGAGAGGCCAGAGACTTGCCTAGGAGAAGAGAGCATGGGAAGAGACCAGAGAAGGACCCATAAGCAAGGTCCAGAAACCAAAAATCAAAGGAGGCGTTCCCACATGTAACAGTCACCTCACTGCAGTGCCCTAGCTGAACATACAAGCGGATTGGAGTCTGGACGGGGGTTAGTGTGGGGGAGGTTTTCTGGGAGTTTCATGGCACCTCCACATGGCCATCACAGCGTCTCCACCTTCCTAGTCCTGGATGGACACAGGTGCATCATGGGAAAGTGGGCATACTGGATTGACAGGTAAGCGGTGGAGTTATAGTGCAAGGCTAGAGGCAGAAATGATTAGGAATATCTTCCAGCTCACCTATCTGTTTTACCTGCCTAGTCCCCCCATCACATCCACAGGACAATGGGGGACAGGTTGGAAAGAAAGGTGAGAGAATCATACTTGTGTATAGTCCTGAGTTTCCCATACTCAATGACCACAAAGAAATGTCCCTAACACCCATGTGTGTGTGTGTGTGGGGGGGGGATGTTAACATCTGAGGAATTTGAAAGGATATAAAGAATTCTTTGTACTTTTTTTTTTTTGCAAATTTGCTGTGAGTTTGAAATGAAAGTAAGTAAAATAAACATCGCTGAATACAATGTAAAATAAAAATGAGCTTTCCTACAGCCAACAAGAAAAGCGGGTGCAGGTCTAGGACAGAGTCTGAAGAAGGTAACTGCTGTCTGCTCCTGTTCAGGTCACGCCCTTGACCGCCTTGAAGTTCGCAGAGCTGTCCGTGAAAGCAGGCTTCCCGAAGGGGGTGATCAACATCATCCCGGGCTCAGGTATGCCCTCCACTGACCCACTTTGCTATACCCAGGAGCGGTCCAGGGGCCGCTGAGTGGCTGCTTTCCCAGGTGAGTGGGAATTCAGTGGAGTTGTGAATTACAACTACATTACAACTAAATACACACCACCCAACAGGATCAGTGTCCGTACCATGTGCTGACATCTACAGTTGGAACTGCCTGGCTGGGTGGGTGCATGGGGGGAGGTCATGGGGAGGATGACACCAACATCGTCACACTGCCCTGAGGGGCTCCATCTCAATTTCCAAAAACTTTGAATGAGAACAACCAAGCCTTACCCGTTCCTGTGGGGGTGTGGGTGGCTAACACTGTATAGCGAACATTATTTTAGATTTTGATCAATTGGTAATTAACACAGAGAATGTCAAACTTAGATTTTAATGAAAGCTTAGGCATTGACTTCAGTGAGTTCAAACCCACGCTCCGCATGGGAACCTGAGTGATGCGTAATCTGGGTTTTACTCCTGATTCCCAGGCGGTATAGCAGGACAGCGTCTTTCGGAGCATCCTGATATCCGTAAACTTGGCTTCACCGGCTCCACTCTGATTGGCAAGCAGATCATGAAGAGGTACTGATTTTGTTCTCTCAATCTGGGACCAATTCTGTTAAACCAGGCTTCTGTTTTCATTTAAATAAAGAACTTTTGGAGTGAGGGGGTGGGAGGGAGACACATCAAATTTAGACCAGAAACCTACTTAGTGCTGCCGTATTGAAATACTTGAATACAATAAAAGAGCCTCCAAAGGGCCGAAGCCCACAGGCAATAAAACCAGACTTAAGCTGAAATTCCCCACGCTACCAGCAGCTTTGACAGGTGAGCACCAAACAGTGTCTGCATTAAAGCCATGTCCCCAAATTGTTGTGGAGCACCAGAACCTGAAAAGATAAATTGTCTTGTATATGACAAGTCTGGATTATTTATAAAATGGTTCCCAAAAGGCAGAAATTTTAGTTTCTTTTTTAAAAATTGCCCACAGTCTGAATGTCCAAAAGAAGGCAACAGTTAAAGTATGCCAATAAATGGAGCACTGGTCGTGTTCATGGAGAATTTTTAATAAGAGTAAAAAGTGTGCCGACAATGATACATGGAATGAAAAATAAGGTATAAAATTGTGCATATTGGATGACCCTGACTTTGTCAAACAAGGCGAGAGCAATGGTAGGATGTAGACCAGAAATAAGCCTATCAAAATGATAAGAACAATAGCCATTAAGCCAGAGAATAGAATTCTGTGATTTTTTTTTTCTTAAGTCTACACTTTTGGGGGTTAACTTTTAAAATGTTTTAAATAAGAATATTTTAAGAAGATGGAAACAAATAACGTATTTTTGAGAGTTTGTATTTTCCCCCAAATGTTCCGGCAGTCTGGTTAGAGGCTGAATTCCTTGCCAGGCCTTTGTGTCACCAAAATTCCTAAAGAATGTGAATGTAACTATGAGATGCTATCAGGATTTGACCACAGAAGTTTCCAGAATTTTATTACGGAAAATGCCCGATATGTACAAAGCTCACAGAAAAGCGTAATGAGCTCCACGTGCTTGTCACCCGGCTGCAACAGTAGGCACCACTGTGCCCCGCATGCTTTGTCCTGGAGTGCGCTTCTTAAGGTTTCTGGGGCTCAGTCATGTTTTCCCTGCCAAGCAGTTATTTTGGTTAAAAAAGCAAGACGGAGCCACTCAGTGCTCGTGTCCCATTTATTTTGCTCTAGCTGTGCTGTGAGCAACTTGAAGAAAGTGTCCCTTGAACTCGGCGGCAAATCTCCACTTATAATATTCAACGACTGTGAACTTGACAAGGCCGTGCGAATGGTGAGAGGGGGTCAGATCCTAGGGAATGGGCCAGGGGTCTCACGAAGACATCTGGCTCTGTGTAGTCTTAAGTGGAAAGCATCCTCTTGATGCTTACCTTTGGGCATACTCAGAGCACTAAATCTCTTAAAAATGACGCCTTTCTAAATTACCATATCAAAGTGTTTTTAAAACAGAATATAAGTCAGAGCCATATAGCTCAAGAGCTTTCTGGCGGGGTTTCGTGTCTCCCCCAACCTCTGCTCCCTAACACCTCACCCTGCCAGCTGGAACAGCTCTGCTTCTATCTGTTCCTACAAATCGCACTCTGGCGAGACTTTTAGACACGACACAGGGTTCCATATTAAAAGGTACTTGGCCCCATCAATCCCCTAGTTTTCACAACGTGGCTTTTGTAAGATATTACCATGGGGAAAGCTGAGTGGAAGGGACACAGGAACTCATTCCATTTTGGCAATACCTTGTGATTTTTAAACTACTTCAGAATATAAAAACGTATTTTGAAGTAAAAAAAATTTTTTTAAGATTTGTTTAATTTGAAAGGCAGAGTTACAGAGAGAGAAGAGCCACACACACACACACACACATATACACACACACACACACAGAGAGAGAGAGAGAGAGAGAGAGAGAGAGAGATCTTCTATCTGCTAGTTCACTCCCCAGATGGAGACCACGGCCATGGCTGGGCCAGACTGAAGCCAGGAGCCTGGAACTTCATCCAGGTCTCCCACATGGGTGGGAGGCCAACTACTTGGGTCATCCTCCACTGCTTCCCCTGGAGCATGAGTAGGGAGTTGGATGAGAAGTGGAGCAGCCAGGACTCAAGCAGTGTCCATATGTGTTGCCAGCATTGCAGGTGGAGCACTGCCAGCATTGCAGGTCCCCCTGCAGAGCAATGCTGGCCCTCTGAAGTAAGATTTAAATGGTAAAAAATAGCTACATTGGCCTTGTCTGCACTCTCCATTTCTGAGCCCTGGCTGTGTTAAGCTTTCTTGTGACAGTGGTGGATATTCGGATCGTTGTGGTTCTGTGCAGTCTTCAAGCCTGTGCTCAGAGCAGGATCTGTTCACCGGGCCACTTGCCTGAGACCCTAATGAATGCCCACAGGCAACCCCATTGTACAAGGACCCCAAAGAGAATGGAGTGGCCTGGGAGTGAAGCCATCCCAAGTACTCCCTTGGGAAGGGCTGGAGCACGGCCTATCTGGAGGTTTCAGTGACAGACAACAGCTGGGTGCACAGGAGCTGATATTAAGGGTCAAGACTCCTCTGGGTTTCTGAGAGAAATATTCCAGAACCTTCCAGAGAAAAGATTGAGGAAAAGAAAATAAAGGGAAGGAAGATTTTCTTATACTGTTGTGTAGTCTGTTGTATTCTTAAAAGCACCAACCTCAACGTTAGTCTTCACTAGTATCTCCCACTCATGACTACGTAACATGAATACAAAGGACTGGCTAAATATCACTAAGGGTGAAACACCTGTAAGCATGGAAAAAAATCTCAGAGGACCATTCTATTCCCAAATGGCAAGTCTGGTATTAGCCACACCATCAGACTCTACAGGAGAGGATGGGAACACATTTCTGCAACTCATCATCTTAAGAACCTGAGTATAGGGGCTGGCATTGTGGCTAAGCGGGTAAAGCCAGCAACTGCAGTGCTGGCATCCCATGTGGGCACCGGTTTGAATCTTGGCTGCTGCACTTCCAATTCAGCTCCCTGCTGATGTGCCTGGGAAAGCAGCAGATGATGATCCAAGTGCTTGGGCCCCTGCACCCACGTGGGAGACCTGGAAGAAGCTCCTGGCTCCTGACTTTGGCCTGACCCAGTCCTTACCATTGTGGCCATTTGGGGAGTGAACCAGTGGATGCAAGAGCTCTCTGTTTCTCTCTGCCTCTCCCTCTCCATAAGTCTTTCAAATAAACACATCTTAAAAAAAAAAAAAAAAAAACCTGAATGTACAGTGTGTGTGTGTGTGTGTGTGTGTGTGTGTGTGTATATTACCTAGTTAAGAGAAATTTCCTGGAAGTGAATTAGAAACTATTTAGAAAGGGAATACACACAAAACTATAAGTCTGAGTTTTCAAAACTTCTCATGTTTTGAGTGCTTTCATTTCAAAGATTTTTTCAAAATTCTTCTTAAAAGATAGACTTCCCTCTTTAGGGGAGGCATGACAGGCTTTCTAAGCATTTGTAGATTATACAAACTGATGTAGAGGCCTTTTTTTTAAAAAAAGCAAAAGTTAATATGCAAGTATTACATTTAAATGTATAGAATAATCAAGATTTTCTTACAACATAAAATTTGTTCTTGGTGGTAAATCCTTATTGTTACATGCATTTGTTAAAGTGCTCATGGACCAAAAGAGGAAAAGAGAAACAAACATCCCTAAAGATATGCTATGAGTATCTCCAACAAATAATAAAAGAAACAGAACTGATGATCTCCAAGTCTTTCTCATCACTAACAAGATCAAGGGCCTTGCCTATGCTTTCTTTATGTGGTCAGTTGCCTTCCAATAACACCTAATCCTCTGTGTATGTGCAATTCTGTGACAGCCTTGACTTCTCAGATAACCATAACCATCTTTTCTCCTCTGTTGCTGAAGGGCATGGGAGCAGTATTTTTCAACAAGGGCGAGAACTGTATTGCGGCTGGGCGGCTGTTTGTGGAAGAATCCATCCACGACGAATTTGTGACAAGAGTGGTGAGACATCTGCACACTCGCTCTAGGCGTTGACTAGAAATAGCTTCTATTCTATTTTTTTAAAAGCTTCATTTATTTAAAAGGCAGGGGGAAGTGCTCCTATCCATTGATTTACTCCCCAAATATCTGTAAAAGCTTGCAGGAGCTAAGAACCCAAGCCAGGCTTTCCATTTGGGTGGCAGGAACCCAATTACTTGAGGCATCATCACAAAACCCCAGCATTAGCATTAGCAGGCAGCTGAAATGGGGGGGACAAGGTAGACATCTAGCCCAAGTACACTGATGTGTGGCATGGGCATCCTAACCAGCATGTTAACTGCTAACCTATCCCATAAGCCTATTTTTAAATTAAATTTCCCCCGTGAACTTTCTGAAGCACCCTCATATATGAAAACACCTGATAAAGTCCGCACCAGAGCAGTTAATTATCTAGGCATTGCAGTGAGTTCGTAGCATATGTGAGAGATACAGCTAGACTTATGCAAATCTCTAAATCGATTGAGAGACACAGCACTCGATCCTTACGAATCCCCGGTCTGCAGTTAACGTGACAGCACTATCACTTCTTCCACTAAAATAACTAAGAACCCCCCTAGCTTGACGACGGCTCTGTACATGTGAGAATGTTCACACAGATTCTGTGACTAAAAGACACACTAGCATGCACCGCGTCATTAGGGAGGTAGTAGTACACACGAATGGTTACATTTGCAGAGCCAGCATCTAGCTCTTGTTCCTCCAGAGCCAATTTCTCACACTCCAGCCCACCGAAACAGCAAGGGTGGTCCTTCTTCCCGAGGGTAGATGCCAAGGAAATCAGACAAATAGGCATTTGAGTCACTTACCCTCTCCAGGCCTCAGTTTCTTCTTCTGTAAGGTGAAAATAATAGCTGCCTACCTGCAGTGTGCTGTGAAGTCTAGATGACAATACGTCTATAATCGCCTTAGCACGATACCCACCTAGTCCGGAGTATCCATTGTGATTATTAACAGTGAACTGTGTTTTGTGGACCGGGTAACACACAGGTGGAAGAAATTAAAAAGATGAAAATTGGTGATCCCCTGGACAGATCTACTGATCACGGGCCCCAGAATCATAAGGCCCACCTGGAAAAGCTGCTGCAGTATTGTGAGGCTGGAGTGAAAGAGGGGGCCACCCTGGTGTACGGAGGAAGACAAGTGCAAAGGCCAGGTAAGGTCACCTCCGTGGGGGCTGAGTTGGATGGGTGATCACACTTTTCGCTGTGGCACCATCTGGCTGCAAAAGTCAATAGTGTCATTGATAACGTGTGCACGAGAATTAATTTCTGGGTCCTGCTTGGCTGCTTCTGCACTGGCACCGCGGTCCACCCCATGTTTGTGAGCCTTACTTTCCGCCTATGTAAAACGAGATACCCTGTGTTCACCCTGCTTTACAAGGCTGTGGAAGTCAAAGCAGCAGCAGTGGTGACCGGCCCTGAGCTGGCAGTGAACCAGCGTAATGAGTGTTATGCAGGTGGGTTCGATGCTTGGCACTTTGAGATTTAATCTTAGCCAGCCAGAGAGATGCCCTCCTGCTATCTAAAGCAGAACCTGTTACCAAAATGTGTGAACGGCCCCATGTCATGACACTCGTGCAGAGAGCTCGTTTTTCAGAATGGGTATTTGCTGTAGCGGTTAGAAGGCTAGTTAACACATCCATGTCCCCAATCAGAGTGCCTGGCATTAACACCTGGCGCCAGCTCCTGACTCCAGCTTCCTGCTGATGTGGACCCTGGGAGGCAGCAGTGCTGACTCAGGTGACCGCATCCCTGTCACCCAGGTGGAAGACCTAGGTTGAGTTCCTGCCTCCCAGCTTCAGCCTGGCCAAGCACCGGGTTAATGTTATTAGGTGAAAGGTTGATAGGGACCTGGTGTTTGCAATGTACCAAAGTGTCACCCCTGAGGCTGTCCACTAGCCATGAACGGAAAACACAGCTTTGCAATGGAGGGGTCAGGCTGCCACCGCCTGAAACCTCTGGTCGAGTTGAGCATCTGTGACAGGGGGACAACTGGATACCGTGTGTCCCCTGATGGGATACACCATGGGATGTGCACTGTCACCTGGCAAGTGTTCTTGCCAACAAAGCCTAATCCAAATCTCCTTGCACCTGTGAGCAGATGTTCCCTGTATCAGAAATAGAGGGCAGAGAGGAAGGGAATGTTCTTATTCACTGGGCATGGAGTTTTGGTTTTACAAGCGGGAGAGTGTTCTGGAGATAGATCATGGCGAAGGTTGCACACATGCTTAATTATCCTGACTGTACATAAAAATGCTGAAGAGGGTAAATTTTGTATTTTCCCACAATTTAATATTCAGGTGGAGAGAGAGAGGAGAGAAACACATGATACCGAGAAACTCATATTATCCGAGGGAAGCAATGACAAATCTAAAATGTGGGATATTTCATGGGACCACTGGCCTGGTATCTTTAACAAGTCAATGGCATTAAAAATAGGGGGAAGACAAAAGGAGGAAATATCTTAGGTTAAAAGACACTCAAGAAATCTAACAGCCAAAGGCAACGTGCAGAATTTATTTGAATCCTAAATCAAACAAATCATCAGAAAAAAGGATTGTTCCAGATGAGAGAAACTGAAATATAAAGTATGAACAATGAGTGAGCATTAACTTTAGAGGTGTGATACTGCGTCGTAGTTATGTAAGAAAGTGTCCTTATTTTTTTAGACTTGTATTGAAATCCTTGAGAATGAAAATTACACCTGGATCTTACTTGATTAATGTTTATTTTACTATTTATTCTATTACCTATTTTAATGTATATTTGGAATCTTCATAAAAAACATAAAAAATAAGAACTAACACCAAATAGAGAAATGAAGCTCTTTTTTGTTTTACTGAGACAGAGGGAAAGAAATTAGAAAGTAATTGAATTGAGATGTAATATGAATTGAAAATGGCCTAACCTATAGTAGAGATTCTTTTCTTCTTTCCAAAAGGCTTTTTTATGGAACCAACTGTGTTCACAGACGTGGAAGATCACATGTACCTTGCCAAAGAGGAGTCCTTTGGACCTATTATGGTCATTTCTAAATTCCAAAATGGGTACGTTCTTTGGATGCAATTTAACTTTATTTTTATTGGCTATATTTCCCCCCTCTGCCATTGTGCTACCTACAGAACATGAAATCAGTGAACGTTTAATTCTCTATCATAAAAACAATTAAGTAATTAGGAAAGTATGCTTTTCCTAACAACCATTGGAGATCATAAAGTACTTTGCCTGTAGCCTAAATTAACGGTGGATGTAATGGGATTTTATCTGATTAAATTTTAGTTTTCATAGAGTTGGCAGTGGAAATGTGTAGAACAAGGTAAATGACTGCAAAATAACAGAATGAGAGTTCACATTTACATCCCTGCTGATGGGAGCATCTGTGGAATTTTATGTCGCCCAAAACGATGCTGCTGTTATCAGGGACTGAGCCGGAGAAAGCCTGATCCTCAGCTTCTCATAGGAACGCTCGCCATCACCATAGAGTCAAAATGCTGGCTACTCTATGTTACACTTCCCACAGTGTGTGGCGTGTCAAGGAGAGCCACGCAGTAATGGAGCTCACAAAACAGCATGCAATACACGGCGTCTCTTGGTACAGACACAGTGATTCAGAATGACCTTAGGTTTGCTTCAGCCAATGAACAGTTGAAGAACAGAAACCAAATGCGGAGTTCTTTGACAGGCATACTCAGATTGTAAGAGACTTTGGGGGATGCTAGGTTGGAGTAGGAAGCCTTTGAAACACAGATCCAATTATACCTGCTGTCCCCTCTTGCCCACTATAAATTCCCCTGTATAGGATTGTCTTAGTGTGGAGCATGCAGACCTCGGAGGCTACATTTGGGGGACTTGAATGTGGCTAAGTCACAGTCCCTGCCCTCAAGAAGCTTACCTTCCAGTGGGGGAGACAGATATGGCGATGGGCAATTGGTCCACAGAGCACCAGAGGCTGGCAGGATGATGCAGGAGACGAGAATATGCCTTCTGCCCTCTCACCTGCGAGAGCAGCCTGGTTACTGAACCACTCTGTGCCTCAGTTTACTTTTAGAATCAGGTTAATAACAGTATAGTGTTTTAGGGGTCATTCTGAGGATAAAATAAGTCAAGTGTTTGCTTATCATAGTAAGCAAAAATATATATTATACACACACACACACACACACACTGCACTGAGAGGAATCTGTGCCCCCTGACTGTAGCTAATTTACACTGTTCCAGGCACTATTAGCTCAAGTGACCACTATGCTCACTGTCAATCCAGAAGTAGACCATGTACTACCAAGCTACAGCCTCTCAACAGTGTTCAGTGAGAAAGGGCGAGAAGCCACCTTTGTGCCACTAGTCCAGTCTATAAATAATCTGGGTCCACTCCAGATCAGAAAGGGTGAGCGTCTCAGCTCTCTCTGAGTTAGGTCCCAAATTGCATGGGCAAGTTTGAAATTGTGAATAGTCAAGATGACCTTTAAAAGACCCTTCGGGAGGCTCCATGTTGAAACCTGTGTGGTCTCTCGGTGAATTGAACAGAGCTGATTTTTGCCCTCCACTTTGGGAACATCCTGTTTCTTTGCTGGAGCAGCAGATGAAATAGCTGGCTTGCATTTCCCGGACATGTTGCATGCATTTTTTAAGCATGAAGAGTGGTTCAGAAAGGTGAGATACGCCATGACAGGCAGGTGGGCGCTGGACTCAAGGGAGAGAGGAACATGCTCATGTCTCTACTTGTTTGGCCATTTACACACTGTTGGCCCTACATATCCTCAGGTTCCACGTCTGTGGATCCAGCCAACTTCAGATGGAAAATATTGTTTTAATTGCATCTGTATTGAACACCTACAGATTGTCTTGTCATTATTCCCTAAACAATACAGTATGACTAATTTCACTTATAGCGTTTACATCATACTAGGCGTTGTAAGTAACCTGGAGATGATTTAAAGTGCATGGGAGTACTGTGTAGGTTACATACAAGTAGTGCACCGTTTTCTTTAAGGGATTTGAGCATCCATAGACTTTGGTAACTGAAGGATGCTGGTCCCAGATCCAATCCCCTGAGGATACTGAGTGACAACTGTACACTGAGTCAAAAGGGAGGGAAGCCACCAGACTTATGTAAGGGATCACTTTATTCTCCTTTGGTTGAATAAGCATATGTAACTGAAATCACTCTCATCGGATGATGCGACACTATAGGATAAAGTAATAGACATTATCCCTGTCCTGGTGGAGCTTCTGGCCTCCAGCCTAGGAAGGGTGAGCCATAACACACATGACACAGTGCCAAAGAGTCTACTCCACACACATGACACAGGGCCAAAGAGCCTACTCCACACACATGACACATGCCAAAGAGCCTGCTCCACACACATGCCACAGGGCCAAAGAGCCTGCTCCACAAAACCCTGCGCTGGGAGCGTTTCCTGGGTTCCAGGCTCTCTTAGCTCACTGCACCCTCACCACAAGCAGGCACTTCCCTTTATAATTATGTTCACGTTTCAATGGAAGAAACGAAGGCATGGAGAGATGAAGTCATGTGTCCCAGGTCACCCAGACAGCCTGGCTGCAGAACCCTCTCCCTGGTCCCTACACTTGGGCAGTGTCCACTGCAGGACTGGCAGGTTCTGGAAAGCATTCAGGGGGCACTCAAGGAGCCTTGAACTGTGTGTGCAAACGCTGGAGACGGCAGGAAACAGAGGATGTTTGAGAATCTAGAAGTGCAACCCAAGGAGAGGGGTGAGGGTGGGAAGGCCATGAACAAGAACCCCTGGAGAAGATCAAAATGATGACTTGGGATCAGATTTCAAAAGGCGTTGCAATGTATATGACAAATATGATACTAGAGTTGTCTGTTTGTTGGGGCTTTCTTTCGAGGTGAGCCTGGGACATTTCATTTATAAAATTTTAAGCAGGTGGCAGTGATGTTTTCCTGTCTCTAGCACAGAGAGGATGAAAGGAGATTGGTTTCACTTTACACTGAGTGAAGTTTTATGTCTTCCAAAATCGCCTTGCAGGGACATCGATGGAGTGCTGCAGCGAGCCAACAACACCGAGTACGGCTTGGCCTCCGGGGTGTTCACAAGGGACATAAACAAAGCCATGTATGTGAGTGAGAAACTAGAAGCAGGAACTGTCTTTATCAACACGTACAACAAGACGGACGTGGCGGCCCCGTTTGGGGGAGTTAAGCAATCTGGCTTTGGAAAAGACCTGGGTACGGCTCTGCTTTTATCCTGCGCGGTCCTTTGTTGCCTGCCTCGTGTGTGGCATGCAGCATGTGTGTTCTGCTTGGAAGGGCATTTCCTACATGGGAGTTACATCTGGAATGACAGGGCTATCGATTCTTTAAATGTGAAACGTTTTAATTGACTCTAACATAGATAAGCAAATTGTGAGCAAATAAATGTGTTTCTCTGCAAAAACAAGATTCACGTAGAAAGGCAAAAGAGACAGATGATATATTTGAGCTAAAATCTGTTTGGGTTTTCACCAACATTCAGCGTGAACTGGGTTTAGTTTTTTTGAGAACCAAGAAAGAGAAATGAGTGGAGGGCAGTGACCATCACGTAGGCATGAGTAAGCCCGTCTCTGACCTGCTGGTGGCCTTTTAGGATCAACCCTCCTGACTAACAACTCGGGATTTAGAGTTTGTGATGCCCCCAGGTGTAACTCACCATGAGCAGTGACCCTTACACCTCTAAGGCAGTAGCTGACTTTGAACACTAACTGCCATGGCGCTTCAGAAAGTTCACGAAAGGGGCTAGCGCTGTGGCACAGAAGGTAAAGCTGGCATCCTTTGTGGCCACCAGTTCAAGGCCTGGCTGTTCTACTTCCGATCCCACTCCCTGCTAATGTGCCCGGGAAAGCAGTGGAAGATGGCCCAACTGCTTGGTCCCCTGCCACCCACATGGGAGACACGGAAGAAACTCCTGGCTCCTGACTTCAATCTGGCCCAGCCCTGGTGGTTGTGGCTGTTTGAGGAGTGAACCAGCAGATGGAAGATCTCTATCTCTCTTTCCTTCTCACTCTCTGTATCTCTACCTTTCAAATAAGTAAATAAATCTTTTTTAAAAAAAAAGTTTGTGGAAAAAATGTGAGTAAAATATGTTTATTTTGGTACCAAAAATGTTTTAAAATGATGGATAGTTTTTTTGTAATATACTTTTCTGTGAACTTTAAAAAAGTTGTTTTTAAAAATGTTATTTGAAAGACAAAAGGAGGAAGAGAGACATCTTCCATCCACTGGTTCATTCCTCAAATGCCTACGACAGCCAAGGTTGGGCCAGGCCAAAGCCAGGAGACTGGAACTCAATCCGAGTCTCCCACAGTAGTGGCAGGGACCCAATGACTTACTGCTTCCTGGATACACATTAGCAGGAAGCTGGAATCAGGAGTGGAGCTGGGACTTGAACCCAGGGGCTCTGAAATGGAATGCAAGTGTCCCAAGGAACATCTTTGCCAGTGCACCAAATGTCCACCCCCACCATGAAATTTTTTTTAAGATTTATTTTATTTATTTGAAAGGCAGAGTGACAGGGAGAGAGATCTTGTATCCACTGTTTCACTTCCCAAATGACCCTAATGACTTGGGCTGGGCCAGGCTGAAGCCAGGAGCCATGGACTCTATCCAGGTCTCCCATGTGGGTGGCAGGGGCACAAGCACTTGGACCATTTTCCACTGCCTTCCCAGGCACATTAGCAGAAAGCTGGATCAGAAGTGGAGTAGCTGGGATTGGTGTTGTAGCACAATAGATTAAGCTGCCACCTGCAATACCAGCATCCCATATGGGCACCAGTCTGTGTCCCAGCTGCTCCACTTCTGATTCAGCTCCCTGCTCTGCACCTGGGAAAGCAGCAGAGGATGGTTCAAGTCCTTGGGCCCCTGCACCCATGTGGGAGATCCAGATGAAGCTCATGGCTCTTAGCTTTGGCCTGGCCCAGCCCTGGCCATTGCTGCCATTTGAGGATTGAACCAGAGGATGGAAAATCTCTATCTCTCCCACTCTCTGTAACTCTGCCTTTCAAAAAAATAAACCTTAAAAAAAAAAACAACACACACACAAAAAAAAACAAGTGGAGTAGCTGGGACTCGAACCAGCACTCTGATATGGAATGCCAGAGTTGCAAGGCTGGGGGGGGCGGGGCTTCACCTGCTCACTGCTCCATAACATCAGCTCCCTTCTTATCTTTACAAGAAGATTAAACCAGATGATCTCAAACTTTCTCTCTTATGCTCAATTCTGCTCCATTTAATATAATCTGAGGACAGCATCTTGGTTACTTCTGTTCAAATGGACAAAGGATAAAGGTGGGGTTTTGTCATCAAGCAGAAAAGTAAAGGAGAAAGATTTTTGAAACTGACCAAAACATTCTCTGTTCTTTCAAAGAGCCAGTAGTTGGGCCAGACCCTTCTAGCTCAAAGGGTGGTCCTTGGACCACTGACATCAGCATTATTGGGGTATAATAGGAAGAAACACACACCTGAGGGCCATCCCCGGACACGCTGGAGCCAGAAGCTGCACTTTAACAAGGTGCTCAGGTGATCCATCTCGGCCCGAGAAGCGCTGGCCTAGGCCACCTTCCATTTACTCTGTGGCCTGTACCCCTACACCTGTGCCCAGCAGTCTGGCGACGTCACATCCACCCAGGAACGCGGTTCCTCAACTGCTTTTCTCTGCCTTAGGTGAGGAAGCCCTAAATGAATACCTCAAAACCAAGACAGTGACACTGGAATATTAGAGCAACGCCACCCTCACCGGAGGACCCCCGGCAGACAGAACCGCTTCTCCACAGTGCACTACAGTTCAGAAGACGCCTGGGTGTGCCGAGGAAGGAGGTGTCAACCACGAGCCACTACAGAGACACACGGGCCTTGACGTGGGTCAGGACCCGTGTCCCGGCATTTACACGCAGGCCTGGGTATTTTCTAATATGCCTTTTATACCTTAAAATGACTTACAGTTGCTGGATTTTCACCATGTTGTACATCATACATATTTCTAACATACCAAGGTGCTTCCCCCCACCCCCATCTAATCTCTTTATGACTGTCCATCTTGAAATCATCAACACCACACAGTTGTAATACAAAAGCCATTTTGGAACCTTTGTATAAGGTGTACAGGTCTTAACCTCAGAACCATTCATACGGGCTATTCAAAAGATTTCCTGTGATTTTACTTTGAAGGGACAGTGTGTCCTGTAAGGAATGTGAAGGTTTTTTTTTTTTCCTTTTTTTTTTCATATTTGGAAATAAGATACATCTCTGTGCCTTTGATGTTCTATTTTTGAAACCACTGTGATGGGTAAGGAACCCACAAACATTTCCTGAGAATCTACCAACTAGGTACGAGGTGCCATATCGTGTTCTGAAGAGTATGCCAAATTTAAGGGCGTGATCTTTGGCTCCACAGTTTAAAGGGTAGTAATTAACTCCTGAAGTGAACTGTACAGTGTGACAGCGTAGAGAGGCTGATCTTCTGGTTCATAGCGTAGCATCTCACCATCTGAGCGATGCTGGGTAACTCCCCTGAGCCTCAGTTCCTTAGACACAAACAGGGATAGCACCACCTCCCTCAGGATTCAACGCAGCAACGGAAGCAAAGCGTCTCAGGCTGTGCTTCGCAGGTGTAAATAAATATTAAACTGTTTTCCTCCATCCCTCTTTTAAAAACGTATTGAAATAGGTTGGTAACCCAGCTGAGTTAACTGCTCACTGTCCTTTTCAGGGGTCATCAGTTACTACGCTGCTTCTCTCACCCGCCGTCCTGACACGCTGCCTGACTCAGCAGTACTGAGAAATGCCGCGTAATGGCAGTGGCACAAGGTCAAGGCTGCTTTTCTCGCAGCAGCTTACTCGTCCCTGAAGGACACTGTTGCATTTTTATACCTCCTGGTTCTGCTGCTCACAGCTGGCTGATCTTGGGCAAGTGTATTATCTAGTATCTCAGAGTCTAGGTGTGGTCTCTGTAAAACGGGGACAGGCATCCCTATCTCATTGGGTGTTGCAAGAATTTGATGAGATAAATATGCACACACAGGGTGTGGGGATCACAGTTGGGGCTAAGGAATAGGGACTGTTACAACCCATGCAGCACTCACATCATTTCCCTTTCAGACAGAAGCAGGGAGGTGGGTAAATTATCACCATCCGAGGTGCCCAGAGAAAGGGGAGCTCCTGAATCATGGAGCAGTCAACCTATTTATTTCTCTTTCCAAGTAAATGTCAGTGCACATTCCTATTTCTCTGACTGAAGAAGGCCTTAGGGAAACTCCAAGGCCCAACAGGAGGGGATGTAGGGAATCAATAAACAATGAGCAACAGCTGTAAATTCAGAGGCAGGAGACCCTGCCAGAGGAGGAAACACCAGGTTTGGTCCCAGCATGGCCAGCAGAGCACAGTTTGCCGGGGTAAGCATTTTTCATCATGTATTTTTAAATTTACCATCAGAGCTTGGCACAGCTGAAATTCTAAACTGGAATAAATATTCACTGGACCAAAATGGCAGTTCACCTTTGAGCAAAATGACAAAGGCCTTATTCTAAGTGGTCACATTTAAATGAACCGCTCAAATTGATTTCATTTGATTTAGAATATCACCTTGTCAGATTATTTGAGTGATAGAATGGCAGATAAAAAAACACCTGCTCTTCTGGCCTGATTTTATTTTACCCTTTAGGATTAATCTAAGTAGCCAGTGCTTTTAATCTTCTTCTTTGGGCCATACACCTCTATCAGAACCTGATAAAAAGCTATGGACCCTCTCTAACTTCTACCCACAAATCTGTGTGCAGGTACATAATTGTGCAAATATCCTCAAGGGAGCCACAGACCTCCCAAAGACTGTGCTTGACCTTCCTGTGTCCATAACAAGTTCTAGCAAGTTCTTACCAGCTGGAGTTTTTATATCTGACAGCTGATAAGAATCAAAGGTTCCATGAACTCATACAATCATCATGTGAATTTGAATGGGAATGCAATGATCCACAGCCTGCTGGGTTTAATCAACACACTGAGTAATTGTATCATCACTGTTCTTTCGGGTCACTGATTGTTTTGCTAAGCTACAGGATAAAGCTGTGACTGATCATTGCCTGAACTGGGGGGGAGTGTGGACGCTCTATACAGTTCTACTTTCCCTCCAGCTCACCACCTGCATGGCCGGTACTTGGTACTGAAATCAGCTGCTTTCCTAACTAGATACAAGCACCCCACCCTTAGGGCTAGCAATGTCAGTAATAATATTAACACAAGAGCAATCATTTATTGAGGGCCTCCTGAGTGCCCAGTGCCATGCTAAGCACTTTTAAAATGTGATCCTAATCGTCAAAATATGTGAAAAACCTGAGACATTGAGGTGCCCTGCATCCAGCTCCCACCACTGCCAGGCCATCGTCATCATCTCTGACCCAGACTGTTGCAGACGCCCCCTGGGAAGGTCTTCCTCGTTCTTCCTCGGATGGTTCTGTCCGACTTGAAGGCACAGGGGGTTGTTCTGCTGAAAACCCTCGAAGCGCTCCTATTTCATTTAGAGTTGAGTCCATGTGTTCACTAGGGTTCCCCATACCCGTCTCCAAAAAATAAAGCTGTCGGTGGAAACCTGGGCCTAACGGAGATAAGGGATGGTGGGTAAGGCATGAGGCACGCTAGATGAGGGCGACTACTAGTATTATACAAATAATACCCAAGTGGATTTGTGAAATGATTAAATAATCACAAAAATTACAGAAAACATTATCTCTGCCCAGAAATAACTCACAGATGATATCTGAGATTGTTCGACTTTTTCTATGAATACATATACTTTTTTTACAGAATTATTGTAATATCATACATGATTTTGTTAACTGCTTTTTAAACTAACAATGGCATAAACCGTCTTATGTCTACAAACATACCTCTGCTCATTTTAGTGGCTTTAATTCAACTTGTTCTCTATTGCTGGATATTTAGATCTGCTTTTTGCTGTTTTAAATGTCACAATAAATCTTTTATGCAAACTTGTGACCAAAGCCATACTTATTTAATTAGGATAAATTCAAAGAGATAGAATTCCTGAGTCAAAGGCAGCTCCACTACGTTCCCCCCGTGTTTGCCACCATTGTGTACTATTCTTACACCATCGGCACATCTCATATGTGCTGCAAGCATATGATAGTCTTAACTCATTCATCTCTCACCAAAACCCTCTTAGGAGATAGTTATCCCCATCTTACAAATAGAGAAAAGAAACCGTGGTAAGTGCATGGGCTAGGATGTGATAGACCGTTTCAGAGCCCATGGCATAGTGACCTGGGGACCCACGATGGCCCCAGTGTGCTGACCAGACTTGGAGCTCGCTGCTCCATTAGCCTTACATGGTAAGCCTCAGGAATTTGCTTACTATCTCTTTGCAGTCTTCCTGTCTGTGAAGCGGAGATAAACACAGTATCTCACAAGGCCAAGGTCTTTCCTAACAAGGAAATGCATTCTGCCTGAAAACAAGACCCCCAGCAACAGTACAGTATACAGGGTCATTGGATGCAGTGACTCAGTGATGTTCTCTGCTTCTCTCTGATGTGGGCAATGACTTTATCAACTTTGTAATCCAGGTTCTTGTCTCGCGCAGAGATGGAAATAAGTGGACACTGCTATTGTGTGCAAATAGGAACAGTTTATTTGGCAGTGAACGAATCAACGTACATTCACATGAGTGTTGGCCAAACTGCCCATAAACGAGAAAGAAAAAACTGGAAAGTGGCACCATAATCGGGAAGGTCTGTCCGAGTTGTGGGGAAGAGAGCACACAAATGGTTTGTTCAGTGCACTCAAGGGGGAAAGAACAGGAAACACAGCAGCACTAAGTGGACTCCATGGCAGAGAGCTCCCAAGAGCGGTGGTCTAAGCAGGGTCCACGGCAGAGAGGGAACTCTCGGGCCTTCTACTTTTCTGTAAGCAAGGGAGTGGTACTCCAATTAGATATGCAAATGGGGTGGGGACTTAGCATGCACCCTGGTCCTGGATGAGACAGGTGTATCCTGGGAAGGCAGACATATCAAATCAACAGTTAAAGAAACAGCATCATTTTGCAGTTACCCAAGAGCTGCAGCTTGGGAGGTGCTGTGACACCAGCAACCCACATGGGTGCCAGTGAGTCCTGGCTGCTCTACTTCTGATCCAGCTCTCTGCTATGGCCTGGGAAAGCAGCAGAAGATGGCCCAAGTGCCCCTGCACCCATATGGGAGACCCAGAAGCAGCTCCTGGGTCCTGGCTTTGGTCTGACCCCTATCTGGCTATTGAGGCCATTTGAGGAGTGAACCAGTGGGGGGAAGATAGCTCTCTCTATATACAATTCTGCCTACTAATTAGTAAATCTTGCCTAAAGGTTAACTAGTTATAACTAGTTATGCCACCGTATCATCTCTGCACCCCTTGGTGAGCTGACTACCCTCAAACCTAACTCCATTTGTGGCCATGAGACAGGGGCTCAAGGAATCATATCCCATCATAAGATATTTTGTCCTTTCTTCCAAAAGCAAGGAATCTTCTTAAGAACTTTATAAGATTTTCTTTATTGATTTGAAAGGCAGAGGTACAGGGAGAGAGATCTTACACCTACTGGTTCACTCCCCAATGGCTACAACAGCCAAGTGAAGTGAGGAGCAAGAAACCCATCAGGGTCTCCCACATGACTGGCAGCGGCCAGGCACATTAGCAGGGAGCTGGATGGCAGCAGAGCAACTGGGACTTGACCTGTACTCGGATATGGGATGCCTCCACAAGCGGTGGTTTAACCTGCTGCCCCACAGTGCTGGCCCCAAGGAATCACCTCTTCATTTTCCGGAATGACAGATACTTTTTTTAAAAAGATTATTTATTTGAAAGTCAGAGTTACAGAGAGAGGGGAGAGGCAGAGAGAGAGAGAGAGAGAGAGAGAGGTCTTCTACCCGATGGTTCACTCTCCAATTGGCTGCAATGGTTGGAGCTGCGCCAATCCCCAATCTGAAGCCAGGAGCCAGGCGCTTCTTCCGGTCTCCCACGTGGGTGCAGGGATCCCAAGGACTTGGGCCATCTTCCACTGCTTTCCCAGGCCATAGCAGAGAGCTGGATCGGAAAAGGAGCAGCCGGGATTAGAACCGTTGTCCAATATGGGATGCGAATGCTTCAGGCCAGGGCGTTAACCTGCTGCGCCACAGCGCCGGCCCCCGACACTTTCCTTCCCCGAAGTCTTACAGCCTCCCCTCACACCTCACTGGGACGTTCACATCCCCGGCCCACTCCCAACCGTTAACTGGTAAGAGTCTTCCCTACCACATGGGAAATATCTACCAATCATCCATGAGGGTACTTCTGAAGTTTATGGAAGATGTGCATATTAAAAAAAAGAAACACGGGGCCGGCACTGTGGTAGTGGGTAAAATCTCTGGTGGCAGTGTCAGTATCCCATATGGGAACCAGTTTGATTCCTGGCTGCTCCACTTGCGATCCAGCTCCCTGTTAACACACCTGGGAAAGCAGTGGAAGATGGCCCAAGTCCTCGGGCGCCTGCACCAAAGTGGGAGACCCAGAAGAAGCTCCTGGCTCCTGGCTCCAGATTGGCCCAGCTCTGGCCATTGTGGCAATCTGAGGAGTGAACCGGCAGATGGAAGACCTCTCTCTCTGCCTCTATGTTCGGCAGATGGAAGACCTCTCTCTCTGCCTCTATGTAACTCTTTCAAATGAATAAATAAATCTTTAAAAAAAAAGAAAAAGAAAAAGAAAAAAGCAGGGATTTCAAAAAAATTTTTTTGTACCAAAACACATTTAATTCCATTTTTCTGGGAACTTTTTGAAGTCTTCTTATATATCATGTCTTTTTTCTTCAGGATTCTGAAACAGAACTGTGTACTGATATTTAAGTTGAATGATTTTATTGACATAAAGAGAAGAAATAAAGCAATCAAATTCATGACCATTTATTGAATATTGCAACAGAAAGACACTACGCTAGGCACGGAGGGAAATACAATGAAAGTGGGACTTAGCCACTTCTCTTGCCTTCCCTACACAGCAGTGGGTACAGGCACAATGACACAAATATTCTGCAAGGTAGTTTCAAAGTAGGTACCACATTTGATGTGTAATGAAAATATTATGGAAGTAGATGGAGATTCATTCGGGATGAAATTTTTGCTTTGAAGACCATGACACCTAATTTCCCCCTCTACAGCTGTCACCAGTCATAGAAAGACGGCGCTCCATGTTAGAACAGGTTTCAAACGGCTGCCGCCAGCTCATCCCTAAGCATCAGTCTGCACGAGCCAGAAGACCGCCGAAATCAGTGGGGTTTACTTTCCAGACTGCAGGGCCAACTGCTGCCAAACTAGATAGCTTTGTACAAAAAATACAAAACTTGTCAAAAGTTTGTGTGAGTGGTGGTAACTGATCAACGTGAAACACTTAGAACTGTGACTAACACACACAGAGAGGACTCTGAAGGACTAGCTCTTGTCTCATCGATTATCAGTTCGATAGGTAAAGGATTCAACCTTGATTTCACCTGCATTTCACTGATAAAAGGAGCTGAACTTTATTTTTTTTGTGAATTACTGTTCCATGTCCTATCACTTTTCACTACTGAATCAGGAATCATTTTTAATAATTTGTAAGTCCATTATATATTAATGATACTCATCCATATTTCAAATAATTTTCCCCTTTCCTTTTAAATTTCTTTCCACTCACTAGTTTTTAATATTTTTGTGAATATTCTTTTTTCCTTAGTGATTTTGAGCTTTCATGTTATGAATTAAAAAAAAAATTTCCCAACTATATTATTAAATATGAACCCATATTTTAGTACAGAATCTTCATAATTTAATTTTTTACATTTCAATCATTCATGATGTGTAGCTTTTCTTGACACATGGTGTGAAACTAGAATTCAATCTTGTCTGAAATAGTTAGCCAATTCTAACATAATGAGTAATTCACTCATTTTACGCTAGAAATAATCTTATATTACATTTTTATCATTTTTTCTCCCATATCTCTTAGAGCCTGAATTTAGTTGACCCCCTTAATTGGATGGGAAGTCTAATTGTGTTAAAATAGCCATAGCAAGAGAGAGTTGGGGCCGGCGCTGTGGCTCACTTGGTTAATCCTCCGCCTGCAGCGCCAGCATCCCATATGGGCTCCAGATTCTAGTCCCAGTTGCCCCTCTTCCAGTCCAGCTCTCTGCTGTGGCCCGGGAGGGCAGTGGAGGATGGCCCAGGTGCTTGGGCCCTGCACCCGCATGGGAGACCTGGAGGAAGCACTTGGCTCCTGGCTTTAGATTGGCGTAGTTCCGGCCGTAGCGGCCATTTGCGGGGTGAACCAACAGAGGGAAGACCTTTCTCTCTGTCTCTCTCTCTCATTAACTCTGTCAAATAAAAAAAAGAAAAAAAGAAAAAGAAATCCAAATCTTAAAAAAAAATTAGAGTTGGACATAAAAGTACCTATTTTTTGGTGGACTAGTCTCTTTCACTGATCAGTCACTCTCTTTCTACTGGGTATTTCAGTGGGAACTGTGAAGTTCCCACCTTCATATTCCCCTACTTGGAGCAGTATTCCATGGCCTAAAATGTTCTGCATACCCTCAAATACCCATTCATTCATTGCCATTATACAGTACATAGTGTGCCCCAGGAACCACGCTAAGTAATGAAACAGACAATCAACTCTTCACACAGTGTAGTGTAATATCCAGCACAGAACAGTCTTGGAATGTCGTTACACCACCAACTCATCCCAAGTGTGTTTGGCACTATAAAGTGTAGCACGCCCTCCCAGCTGAGAAGTCCTGTTTCCAGACCACCTGTTTCTTCAGACTTGTAGCGAGGCACTGAGGCACGGTCCAGAAAGCCGGCTCCAATTTCCAAAGAGAAAGATTGTGAAGGGCCTTGAGAGTTCGCTTCAGAGTTTTCACAACACACAGCGGCTAATGTGAGGAGTGGGAAAGAACAGGATTCCAAGGACACCAAAAACAGTGGGAGACAAAGTT